TGGGTTTTTCTATGGAAAATTTGTCAGCGAGCTTAAGGTGGCCACAGCGAAACACTTGACGATATTCACACCACACTCAGCGACACACATGTGCGCTCCGTTTGTGGGTTTTTGCAATTCATGAACTGATGGGAATGGGAATTATAATCGTAGTAGAACTGAACTCCTCATCAAAGGGACGGCATTCTATCTCACTTTGATACATCTTTCTGTTTCGGGGATTAGGCCATACATCTGTAGATGTTTATGTGAGTCAGTCAACGCTGGTACCCAAATTATTCTGTTATTCGACTATTTATAGAAGATGCGTACACACACATAAAATCCTTTATGAATAATGCAATTTGCGGTCATATGAGTGCATATGTATAAATTCATACATAAGTGCATCTGTACATAAAGGATCTTTTATAGAGATATTGCCAGCCGTTTTCCTTATTTCCTTCCCATTGTTCCGCTACTTTCCGCCACATCAACGGAACAATCATGAAATTTTCATTCAATCATTGGCTTGCTCACACACACACACACGCACACACATACCGATGACCGCTGCGGTTTGATTGTTTGTAAGTGCGGACCCACTCGCTCCCCACACAGCCTCCCCCAAGCTCCACCTACCTGGCCTTTCATACTGTTGCGCCTACTCAGCGGCTTTTGGCAGGGCGTTGAAAATTTATGTAGAAATATTTTAATTGAATTGTCACCGCGATTTTATTATTGTTGGAATGCTGTCGCGCGACCGGTTGCCAATTGCCACTGTAATTTTTATTTGCTGTTGCCATCAATCTATCACATCCCACCTTGAAAACAGCTCTGGCCTCTCCTTTGCACACCCGCCCTTTGTGGAGTACTTTGCTCATTTCATTTCATTATTTTTTGTGAGCTTTCAACTTTAATTTAATTTGTAAACACCTCTTGTGTGTTATATTTGATGTTGAACGCTTTCAGTGGCTGCCGGATGAAATATTCAGGAGTTTGTGAAGCCACTCCGGACCTCAGTCCGCCCAGGGACTTTGCCAATAACGACGGTCCCGTTAATGACACCCGACAATTGGCCAATTATGGGGGCAATGGGAGACACTGGGGCTCTGGATCCGATGGTGTGGTTTTTTGGTGGGGATGTGGCCCGTTTCGCTTAAACCGAGGAATTCCAACCGCACAAGGGGTTTCCGTAGGGGAATGCCTAAGGAATCCGCAACCCAGCCGCACTCTTTCTCTCTCTCTCTCTCTCTCTTCATGGGAACATCGGCCATGATTTTCACTTTTTAACAGAATTTTACAATCCTTTGGAATCATCCTCCCCAAAATCTAAACAGGAGAAAGATGGGAGAAAAAATTGAAACCAAAACAATTTCCTCTAGATGCAAATGAATATTTCGGAGGGGGAATCAAACACCTGCTTAACACCCTTCCATGCGGTAATAGTATGCGTGTATGCTTGGGTATGTAGGTAGGTGTCTGTGGGTGTGCACACATTCCTATAGCCCCTTTTGGAAATTTCGATTACCAAGCGGATATGGCGGCATTGCCATGATAAGTAAACTTTGCCGATGTCGAGATGCCTCCGCTCGCCCAACGCCCTACGTCCTGCGTCCTGCGTCCTGCGTCCTGCGCCCTGATTTTCTTTTGGTGCTTTGCCTGCCTGCCGTCTGTCCCCCATGGCTACCTTGCTGCCTTTCTACCATCAATCTCGCCCTCACGCCCCTATTTCCCTGTTTCGGCATTGCAGAACTCCAAGCCGCTCAGCGCTTTTCAATTACACCAAATTGCCCAAAAAAGAAAAAGGAAACGACGAGCTGGAAAAAGGTTTATGAATGCGCCAAGCTTAAACGGTTATACCCCCCACACAGTTATTACAGGATAGCAGCGTCGATAGCCGACTATTCTAAAGTGAAGTGGTTACAGGGGGTACTCGGAGAGAGAAAGAGCGATATGTTACTCATTTCGAAGCTAGCGAGCGAGGCTAGTGAGCCAGGGGTTGGTGCACGAGATAAGCATGTATATAACACTACAAATTGAGATTTACACTCGAAGGAACTTATGAGTAGATATTGTCCCACTTCCAGCGATTTGACAGGGTATGGAGAGCGTCGCGTGCCCGGCACGTTCTTAGCATATCCCTTGGTCCTTTGGTCCCGTGGTTTCTGCGGGTAGTGAAACAGTTAAGCAAACACTCGAAACGGACAGGAAGGTGGGACTTCCAGCATTCGCATATAATTGCAGTGAATTATTTTAGCTGGCGCAATATTTCTAGCAGCTCTCTCCACACCCCCATCGTGTGTCCTTTCTGCCATTCTCTGGATCTCAGGCTTTCTCTGTATTTGTCCCGCTTTGTCGGTCGTGCTCTTGGCGCACAGCGTGTGCTCATCAAATCCTGCTGCTAATCTGCTGGCAGGCAGGTGGCAGGCTAAATAAACAAACAAACAATTACAGCCGAAATGCAAAAGAAGAATGGAATGGAAAGAAAGGGAAAGGATGGAGAGATACAGTGCGAGAGGGACTGGGGGCAAAGGACGGACCCAAGGAGATAACTGGAGATGTGGCATAAGAGCCGTGCCTCGTGCGTGCTCTAGAAAGCATCTACAACATATTCGAGCACAACAGAACTAGTTACAAAACTATTATATTGTTAAAAACCATATAGCAATCCAATAATAGCTTAAGATACGCGCGTATATCCTAACTCCTAATATCTGGAGGATACGAGCAGGTACTTACGGGTATCGAAAATGCTTCGTTACTCGCTCTGCAAAGTTATTAAAATATATCAAATATATATCAAATCAATATGTGTAGAATATTGTAGTCTATAAATATAAATCGTGGTACATCCATAAAAGGGCCGAAGGTTGTGGAAAGATGTGCGTTTTCGTGCTCCTTTGGTTTCGTGACTTCAAGTTCGCGTGTTTCCGTGGCTAAAAGAAAGAACCCCGGCCGGAGCCCATCTCCATCTCCAGCCGCAGAAAACCTCAAGCGTTGTCATCATTTTGGAAACCCCAACAATGAGCTGCCTTAAGATGTTTAAGCCTTGTTTTTACTTCAATTTCGGGCTGGATGAGGTTTTGCGGTTGACGTGCAAATAAAAATAACATTTACAATAACAACAACCGTAATCTCTCTCACTGTTTCTCCCACACACAGAGACATACACTCTCGCGTGTGTAATTACATCGGCTCTGTCTCTGTCTCCCTCTGTCATGCCTTTGGCTTACAATTTTTGGCGTGTTAAGCCGCCAGTCAAACATCCAGCTGGCATCCAGGCATCCAGCCAGAGTTGTCGAGCTGCTTGTGGGAATCCCCTTCCGGCTTATCCGTATTGCTTAGCACTCTTCTCTTCCCACCACTGCAGCAGCGAACACCCTGCCCCCACCCAACCGCTAGGCAGCGGGTGGTTTTGTAATTAAATTCCATCAGTGAGAGCCCCGAAAAGTTCGTTTTCACTGCGATTAAATGGCAATTGTTTTGTTTGTGTCTTGGGTGCTTATGACACACAGGCAGAGACAACAATTAAATGATTTTCAAAGAACGCACGCCATTTTCACTTTCACTTTGATACTACTCAAATTTGAAGCAGTGTAGAGGATTGTTTAACGTTGGAGTATATTTTTGATATTCTCCCTGTCCCACTCTCCGATTCTCTTCTTTTCGTGTTTGCAATTCGTTGACAGCAGAGGAAGTCGCGATTCCGACTCGATGTGGGTCTCGTTGCTTGGACTCGATTGGGCTCGGTCTCGCTTTGTCAAAATCATGTTGGGGTTTCAGCGAGAACGAGGTGTTAGAGCGCTTGTGCGCGTAGACAGTTATGGTATTGGTATGGCATTACGATCACTGTTACACACGTGTACGTAAGCGGCAGCGCAGCAGCAGGGCCGTGCCGACCCCTGACTTAGAGTAAATGCTGCCCCGGTTTGAGCGAACGATTTGAAAGGCAGCGAAGAAGTTCTTCGGTCCTGGGACTTCATCTCAAGATAAACAACCCTGTGATTATCTGCAGAACCATTTAATTCGTGAGTTCGTTTTAACAGTTAAGAGGAACTACTAGACAAGTTTAACTTTGAAATCGAAGCTATACACATATAACTCGTGAGCAGTTATTCAATTGTTCTTAGGTGTTGTACCATCTAGTAGCCGTTGCCGTGCTATATGGGAAAGCCTCTTTATTTCCAGGGCATCGGCTGTTTCAGCCAGTTCCAAGAGAATTTTCTGATCCTCATCGAAGAATTGGTTGTACCATTGTTTTGCTTGGGTATCGCTGAGTTCGGGCTGGGGATCATCCCTATGATAGTATGACCACAAAATTAGCTTCCGCAAAACAATAGATCTTACATTCTCAAAGTGAAGATGCTCATTTTCATTTCCCATCCTGCTCTCTCCAACAAATCGCTTGGCGACATTCCTATCAACAATAATGAGTTCTCCCTCGGAGGACATCATCTGGATTCTCTCCTTCAGCCTCTTTTCGGTCCTGAAAAAAAACAAAGCGCACAAAACATTGAAATGTGACGTCACCCCCTAACATTATCAGTTGCAGTCGCAGACACGCCAGCGTGCACCAAGCCCACATATGTACATATAACATGGAACATGGAATATTCAGACGCAATCGCATTTGAAGCCCTTTTCTCTTTTGTAAAGTTATATTTGATTCATTTCAAGTACTCACATGTTGCTTTTTGCCAGCAATTGGTGCTCGAAATACGCAATGCCCTGTCGATCGTTGCACACAGCTACACACGGCACACGGCTTCTGTATTCTTGCGAAACTGTCGAAATCCAGCAATTAGCCGAGAATAAGCTTATTAAACCGTCAAAATTGTATCACGGACGGATCAGCTGTTTTCTATGCCCTTAGTGGTGATAATTGCGGCGATAGGCAGAAATATGGCCAAAAGTGCTGTAAGCCGCATAAATAATCGAAAATTCCGAATGCACCCCTGCTTTCGGAAAGAACAACACTTTTTCACAACACTAGGCCCCTATGCTAGGTAAACAAGCGATCAATTTGTATTAATTTGGTTTATTAGTATTCAGGTTGCGGCCACATCTCTTTGAAGTTGCTAAAAATAGTTTACATTTACAAACTCGGAAAACGATTTCTAAACACTGTTAAAAAAATGAAGTTTGTGTTGGCATTCCGCCCGCCAGCACCACTCATAGTGCCAGTCATGGAATAAGCCCGTAGAATCCCTGTACCGTGGACGAGCTGTTCAATAAGCTGAACGAAACACAACCGAATACCTTTGATGCACGAAGATGTTGAGCAAACCACGGAGCAACCACTTTCAGATGTCGCACACTCTCCACATCAACAACACTTCGCCGAGCTACCGCTGCCTGAGCACTTACGTGGACAGCAAGTTGCACACCCCGACCGAAGCCCATCCCGTGCTGCTGACGGACCTCGCCTTAACACGCCGCCCGATCGCTCCCATCACGATGGTGGCGTTCAGAACACGCCCAACCAGGCGACGACCGACTACCGTGGCAGCGACTGTACGCTCTCGCTGACTGTCGTCGCCCGGACTCGCCACTCGCTGCGGCATGATCGTGGTCAGCTTCCTTCAGGCGGGGTCGCGTCGCACGACGCTTTCGTTCATGTTAGTCTGTTAAAGAAATGTAAGTAAAATCCTTTCAATGCTATTTACAGTTTACTATTGTAATTTTACGGAATGCAATTCGCTGTTTATTTATAGATTCATGTGTAGTCTTGGATCTTACCTGTCTCCTACGTGAACGGATTTTATTATATCTCTAAGGGCGTTTCTTGAATATTAGATTACAATTATGTTTCCACCACAATTTTATTCTAAAAATTTTGAATAGACATATTTTTCAAGAAATAAATAGGTCTGTCTCACACTACTACCAAAAAAGTGAATGTTTCCCCAACGAAACCCATAGGGGGGCATTGACAGTTGCTTTTGATCAAAGAATAGCCTACTGAAGATTCCAAGCCTGCCAGATGAATGGCATAGACACCTGCCAAAGCAGCAGGCCGTGCAGTTTTCATGAAATAGAAGATTTCCCAATTCATTTCATTGTGCCGCTCTAGCCGTATATATCGTGTCGTCTTATTGTTCATAACAAAAAAAAATTATTTTTTTAATTTCTGGGAAAGGTAAATCAAGTTGCCTTTCATAATCTTGCCGTATTTCAAAGTAAATGTGTGGTGCAGTTTATTCACATTGTGATTTTCTCAATTTGTATTCCGTTTTTAGAGTTCGATTATTGTATCGTATATTTTTTACGCGCGACTATTAACGGAAATGTCGATCCAAAACCTAAACACTCGCGATCCCTTTGTGGATGCCTCGAAGTGCAACGACGACGATATCCAGGATGGACTCGTCCACATCCGCATCCAGCAGCGCAAAGGTCGCAAAACTTTGACCACTGTCCAGGGTCTCTCGCAGGAGTACGACCTCAAGAAAATTGTACGCAGCTGCAAGAAGGAGTTTGCCTGCAACGGCACTGTCGTCGAGCACCAGGAGTACGGGAAGGTGATACAGCTCCAAGGCGATCAACGGGAGAAAATTTGCCAGTGGCTGACTAAGATCGGATTGGCCAAGGGCCATCAACTGAAGGTCCATGGATTTTAAGGGCGGAGCGGGTGGGATGTTTTAGGCAAGTTGCAGGAGGAGTACATAAGTTCATTAGTCTAAAATTAATCCTGCAGTCTCCAACAGTTCAACATCTAAATGAGATTCTACAATCAAGGACTCTACAAAAGTACTCAAATCTACAATCTACACCTTCAATCAATCTACAAGAGTTCTTAAGTGTACAATATCTACAATAAATATGCAAAAGCTCTACAATCAATTTGCAAAATCTTGTGTCTTGGGTGCTTATGACACACAGGCAGAGACAACAATAAATTGATTTTCAAAGAACGCACGCCATTTTCACTTTCACTTTGATACTACTCAAATTTGAAGCAGTGTAGAGGATTGTTTAACGTTGGAGTATATTTTTGATATTCTCCCTGTCCCACTCTCCGATTCTCTTCTTTTCGTGTTTGCAATTCGTTGACATCAGAGGAAGTCGCGATTCCGACTCGATATGGCAGCGAAGAAGTTCTTCGGTCCTGGGACTTCATCTCAAGATAAACAACCCTGTGATTATCTGCAGAACCATTTAATTCGTGAGTTCGTTTTAACAGTTAAGAGGAACTACTAGACAAGTTTAACTTTGAAATCGAAGCTATACACATATAACTCGTGAGCAGTTATTCAATTGTTCTTAGGTGTTGTACCATCTAGTAGCCGTTGCCGTGCTATATGGGAAAGCCTCTTTATTTCCAGGGCATCGGCTGTTTCAGCCAGTTCCAAGAGAATTTTCTGATCCTCATCGAAGAATTGGTTGTACCATTGTTTTGCTTGGGTATCGCTGAGTTCGGGCTGGGGATCATCCCTATGATAGTATGACCACAAAATTAGCTTCCGCAAAACAATAGATCTTACATTCTCAAAGTGAAGATGCTCATTTTCATTTCCCATCCTGCTCTCTCCAACAAATCGCTTGGCGACATTCCTATCAACAATAATGAGTTCTCCCTCGGAGGACATCATCTGGATTCTCTCCTTCAGCCTCTTTTCGGTCCTGAAAAAAAACAAAGCGCACAAAACATTGAAATGTGACGTCACCCCCTAACATTATCAGTTGCAGTCGCAGACACGCCAGCGTGCACCAAGCCCACATATGTACATATAACATGGAACATGGAATATTCAGACGCAATCGCATTTGAAGCCCTTTTCTCTTTTGTAAAGTTATATTTGATTCATTTCAAGTACTCACATGTTGCTTTTTGCCAGCAATTGGTGCTCGAAATACGCAATGCCCTGTCGATCGTTGCACACAGCTACACACGGCACACGGCTTCTGTATTCTTGCGAAACTGTCGAAATCCAGCAATTAGCCGAGAATAAGCTTATTAAACCGTCAAAATTGTATCACGGACGGATCAGCTGTTTTCTATGCCCTTAGTGGTGATAATTGCGGCGATAGGCAGAAATATGGCCAAAAGTGCTGTAAGCCGCATAAATAATCGAAAATTCCGAATGCACCCCTGCTTTCGGAAAGAACAACACTTTTTCACAACACTAGGCATTTATTAGTATTCAGGTTGCGGCCACATCTCTTTGAAGTTGCTAAAAAATAGTTTACATTTACAAACTCGGAAAACGATTTCTAAACACTGTTAAAAAAATGAAGTTTGTGTTTGCATACAGCCCGCCAGCACCACTCATAGTGCCAGTCATGGAATAAGCCCGTAGAATCCCTGTACCGTGGACGAGTTGTTCAATAAGCTGAACGAAACACAACCGAATACCTTTGATGCACGAAGATGTTGAGCAAACCACGGAGCAACCACTTTCAGATGTCGCACACTCTCCACATCAACAACACTTCGCCGAGCTACCGCTGCCTGAGCACTTACGTGGACAGCAAGTTGCACACCCCGACCGAAGCCCATCCCGTGCTGCTGACGGACCTCGCCTTAACACGCCGCCCGATCGCTCCCATCACGATGGTGGCGTTCAGAACACGCCCAACCAGGCGACGACCGACTACCGTGGCAGCGACTGTACGCTCTCGCTGACTGTCGTCGCCCGGACTCGCCACTCGCTGCGGCATGATCGTGGTCAGCTTCCTTCAGGCGGGGTCGCGTCGCACGACGCTTTCGTTCATGTTAGTCTGTTAAAGAAATGTAAGTAAAATCCTTTCAATGCTATTTACAGTTTACTATTGTAATTTTACGGAATGCAATTCGCTGTTTATTTATAGATTCATGTGTAGTCTTGGATCTTACCTGTCTCCTACGTGAACGGATTTTATTATATCTCTAAGGGCGTTTCTTGAATATTAGATTACAATTATGTTTCCACCACAATTTTATTCTAAAAATTTTGAATAGACATATTTTTCAAGAAATAAATAGGTCTGTCTCACACTACTACCAAAAAAGTGAATGTTTCCCCAACGAAACCCATAGGGGGGCATTGACAGTTGCTTTTGATCAAAGAATAGCCTACTGAAGATTCCAAGCCTGCCAGATGAATGGCATAGACACCTGCCAAAGCAGCAGGCCGTGCAGTTTTCATGAAATAGAAGATTTCCCAATTCATTTCATTGTGCCGCTCTAGCCGTATATATCGTGTCGTCTTATTGTTCATAACAAAAAAAAATTATTTTTTTAATTTCTGGGAAAGGTAAATCAAGTTGCCTTTCATAATCTTGCCGTATTTCAAAGTAAATGTGTGGTGCAGTTTATTCACATTGTGATTTTCTCAATTTGTATTCCGTTTTTAGAGTTCGATTATTGTATCGTATATTTTTTACGCGCGACTATTAACGGAAATGTCGATCCAAAACCTAAACACTCGCGATCCCTTTGTGGATGCCTCGAAGTGCAACGACGACGATATCCAGGATGGACTCGTCCACATCCGCATCCAGCAGCGCAAAGGTCGCAAAACTTTGACCACTGTCCAGGGTCTCTCGCAGGAGTACGACCTCAAGAAAATTGTACGCAGCTGCAAGAAGGAGTTTGCCTGCAACGGCACTGTCGTCGAGCACCAGGAGTACGGGAAGGTGATACAGCTCCAGGGCGATCAACGGGAGAAAATTTGCCAGTGGCTGACTAAGATCGGATTGGCCAAGGGCCATCAACTGAAGGTCCATGGATTTTAAGGGCGGAGAGGGTGGGATAATTGCATGTTTTAGGCAAGTTGCAGGAGGAATACATAAGTTCATTAGTCTAAAATTAATCCTGCAGTCTCCAACAGTTCAACATCTAAATGAGATTCTACAATCAAGGACTCTACAAAAGTACTCAAATCTACAATCTACACCTTCAATCAATCTACAAGAGTTCTTAAGTGTACAATATCTACAATAAATATGCAAAAACTCTACAATCAATTTGCAAAATCTCAAAGAGCTACAATCAAGAAAGCTTTTCAAAGAATGCGCTTTACAAAAAAGAAACAAGCGCAAGAAAAATATTGTAGAGTCGAATATGCCGCACATTAATTTTATTTTCAGAGGCTATAAATCAAATTTAATTGATAACCATCCAAAAGTATTTTTAATTTATGGGAAATTCTCTATCGTACATATTCAAGCCTAAATATATTATAGGGCATCCCTTATGGAAGACAATGCACCGATTTAGCTGAAAATTTGATATATGTATCATAAAATTGGGTCCCAGAATGGTTATAAGTTATATTTAAAATCGGAAGCGCAGCCGAGGCTCGGAAAACCGTAATTTTAGTCATTTTTACGAATATTTTTAAGAGTGGGCCTAACTAAACAAATAAATAAAATAGTTGAATATACTTGCTGCCATATCAACCAGTCGAGTTTGTTGTTCTTATCGTCCCAAAAATAATTATTAAAAATGCAGCTAAGATCCAATCTTTCCCATTGAGACCGTAGTTCAGTTAGACATCGGAGCATTGTGCATCAATCTACTGAAGAAGGACGAGAACACAGAGACAAGAACAGAAGTTCAAGAACAAGATTACATTCGACGAGCAGAAGAAGAAGGCGATTCGCATTAATCAACTGTAAGTTGTTTATGAGCATTGCGGTGATTCTGTAGTCTTCATGGCGAAGTGTCGCCAAACCAAAAACTTATACTTTCTTACTTTTGTGTATATATTTTTCAGTGATTTTCCCTCGATGCCCCACTTGACGCTTTCTCTACCCTTCGTTTTCCTTCATGGTATCACTGGATCAATACAAAAATAATTAACAAAAAGTCAACCAAATTGTTCACTCATTGTTATTGACTTCGTTTTGCTTGAACAGTAATTTAAAATTGTTTGCTCCTTCCGCTTGAATTCCTCTCGTATACCCAGGAAGCCCCACTACCCCCACATCACCACACCTCTGTCAGTCGCTCATTTCCAGGTCGACTCTGAATGGACTCCGAAGGAGAGGCACAGCCGAACATTTCCCATATAATATGTATGCAAGTATGTATCGGTCTCTGTCTGTTGCCGCAAAAACATTTAGCACAGACCGGAAGTGACGATGAATGTGGTTGAAAGGGGGTGGTGGGGGTATGTATGCGGGGTCGGCTTCGGGGTTGAGTTGTGTGCGTGCAATTTTAAATATTGAATCTTTGGTTCAGTATAATCAGACTTGTAATGGCCTTCACGCTCCGATTCGCAGTCAATGGCATAGTAACACAAATACAGGCAAGGCATACACATGTAAGCCTACCAATGCGTGTGCGTGTACGTGTGCGTGTGATTGTGTGTGTGTGCGTTAAGTATGTGCAAACAGCTGTCGCGTGTCACCGGCTGCCGTTCGCTGAAACGGAAACGGAAATTACGTGCACGATGGCAGCAACAAACTGGAACGTGTGCAACAGCAGGAACCAAGAGAATGGGACAGACATCCAGACAGACCGACTGGCTATATGTGATGGCTGAGGGAAAGCAATCGGTCGGCATCATCAGGCCATTTAATGGAACCGGCAATCCATCGATGATGATGATGATGGGGATAATGCCGCTCCATTCCCATCTCCATCTCGAACTCACAATCTTTCTGTCTTGAAGCTGCTGAAAAATCGCTGGCCAACATGCGAGGCAATCAACAGACAGCACTAATCCCCAGCCACCCAACACCCATCCCCCTTTGGCTGTTGCGCTCCAGTTGAGCTTTAATTAAATCGCAAAAGACGCTTCGCGCCACCCCGCACATAATGAACATCAACATTTATCAGTAGTATGTAAAATTCACATATATTTATTGTATATAGTGAGAATATGCTTACTCTTTCATCTACACATTTCCATTTTGGAGGTTTTCCCATTGAAAAGTGGAGAATTATGCTGTCCCTCAGATAAATACAACTGACTATAACTACAATTAAAGCTCGATATAAATCTAAAATCTATAAGGTCGTATAGTATTTAATCTTACATTTTATTTGAAGATTTTATTTTTGTGCAATATTTAATAGATTTAAGTTTATAGACGGCAAGAGGAAGTAATCATTTAGCTTCATTTTGGTTAATAACCTTATTTTTCCATTGGGGTATTCTATTATTCTATTCTATTATATTCTATTATTTTCAATTAACCTTTGGTTAAGTTCACGAGGATGCATGTTCTATAAAACTTGGCTTAAGCTTTGGATTCCTCCTACTTTTCCCATTACTTTTTTCTCCTGGTAATCTCCAGGTTATTTCTGGCTTAACTTCAGTACTTCAGTCGTGGTTAAATTCGTGTTGGACTCATTTGTGCTAAATACTTTCTGGAGTTTACCTTTGAATATACCGTCTATTACTTTTATTCCCCGACAAAAATGGAATTTACGCTACCTTTTGTTTGGGATAATTTAAATTCCATTTAATGCCAAGGAGATTATCAGCACTCTCCGGGAGAAAGTATTTTACAGAATATCCCCAAAAAAAGCCACCCACTGAGGACAAGGGGTAGGACTGGTAAAGAACGAGTGAGAACAATGAGTAAATATTGTTATTTTGCATTATTCAAGTAATTTACGAGCGCTCGCTTCCGGCAACAGTTCTCGCCAGGTGCCCCTCGACCAAAAAGGACCTTACCTAGAGCTCTATTCAGAGCTACAAAACTGTAGTCGAAGCTGTTGCCTGAAACTGAAATGGTTAATGTAAATGACACAGGCCAGCAGTAGTTGGCCGTGGAGCTGAAGCTGGAGATCATCTTAAGCAAATGAATAGGCAAGGGTGGGCGGCAGCCGTGGCCATGGGCTATAGGCTATGGGCCAACGGGTCGTATGAGTAATTTGAAAATAGCAAGCAATTAATTTGAACTCAGAGCTGGAGCTGAAGCTGGAGCTGAGTTGCGTTAAGCCAGCTTGCATATCGGGCCATTTAATTGTATCATAAAACACGCGATGCCAGCATAAAAACCTCTGCTCCCTCAACCTATCCACTCTCGTTCACCAACTCCATTATGCCATTACGAGGGGTTGGAGCTGCTAGTGGAAGTGCTAGTGCGGAAAAACAATCGAAGGGAAAACAACAAACACTTACAAAACAAACAAATAAAAGCGATAGGCTAGCTTCGGGGGCCGAGGCGTTAGATACCCTCGCAGATCGATCCTTTCTACCTATGTATATATATTATTGGTTTAAATATCTTCAACTCCCATCGTTGCAGCTGCCACTATCTAGATGTGGTGGACCGATGGGCAATCCCTGTACTCTTTTGAAGGGCATACAAGAAGGGCCACAACAAACTACTCCAACAACTCCCACTGCCCCTCGATAAGTTTTGGGCGTGGTCCATTAATTTATGTATAAAACTCCCCCCCTGTATCTCCCTTTTTTCTGCTTTTGATTCGAACAACACGAGAGCCCTGCACCATTGTGCACAATATGTACAATGGTCTACAATTGATGTGGAGCAATAAATTCCAACAGAGAATTATTCAACAAATGAGCGATAAATGTAATTCTCCAATAATATGCTTATTTACTTTATATAATTCCATTTAATTAAAAACCGGCTGGCTTGGCCCAACAATGTTCTTAAAAAGAAAGAACAGATTAAATCAAATTATTCGTAGATTTTTATTTTAAAGTAAGTGGAAATTAAACTTGATTTCAGTAGCCCCCCAATAACTTTGTGGCCCACTGTACGCTCGGGCAGGGCTAAGTTTAATGGATCGTCTTTGGACAAATGACAGAAGATACATTAAGTTGAGTGGGGAGAGGGGCTAAACAGTGTTAACAGCATCAATAAATGTTGAACTCTCGCATAACCACCTTCGACTTGAGTCCTTCATGCTCATACCCCCTCTGGGTCAGAGCCATGGGCCAATGCAGGCCAGTGCAGGCCACTTCAATTTCTTGTAATTTATGTTCTGCTTTTTCACTCCCCCCTTACTTTCCGCTCTTCCTGCTGGTAACTCATTTTCCCCATCTTAGCCGACCGGCTATTCCTGTCATCGTTCGTTGGCCATTTTCATTTGGTCTGCTGCTGCTCCTGGCCGACACTAATTAACTGACTTTGAAAAAGTAATTAAGTCATTTGTCTGCACACTCCAGATGGGCTGCGGCCCAGCCCAGCTTATACCACTTGACTGATTGTGGCCAAAGAATAGATAATTTCACAAAGGCCATTTAGTCACTTTGGACACTCAAAACGGTTCTTGGAAAGAGTGCAATCGATCAGTCCATCGAAGAATGTAAAACAAAGCACGAAGAGAAAGCCTTTTCTCTGTTTCACATGCAACGAAGGAATTAACGCTTTTGAATAAAATTATGTATACATATATATATGGTTAATAGAGTTCTGCTCCAAGAGCCTTATATTTCGTTCGTTTGCAAGGGGCAAGTAGCAGAGGCATTCTGAAATTAAGAGAATCATAATTATTTTCTGATTTAATTAAAACCACATAGCTTAACTCACCTGTATGGAACAATCACTCTTATCTTTCAAGAACATTCATTCTCTCGGGTGTATTCGATTCTAGGCCTTGGTCCGTCTCGTATAGAGCCGCTTCTGCCTCCGAAATCGTCAGAGCCTGATGAGGCGCCTGGAACACTACAAATCGGGGTTTGATATATAACAATAATGGGCTTCCGTATGCATCGCATCACTCAAGTCCGGATGGCTGAGCATGAGCTGTATGCTGAGCCCCACCATGTTCTTGCGCTGCAGCGTCATGTGGCCCCAGATGAAAGCAAGTGTGAGGTGGTATCAAGATTGTTCCCATGGCCTATTGTCTTCGCCTGGAACGGTGCACTTCCAGATTAGATAATTTGGCTTTGGTTGCGGTTTTCCCAACTGCATTTTCTTAGGGCAGGCCGTAAAACCGCACAGCGGGCTCTTGCGGCACAACGAGAGCTGCTCCATCAAATGGTCAACAAATGTCATAGTTTTCTTTACTTTAGTTTCAATTTTCTCGACGACTTTCTCCACTAAAACAGTTCATGGTGAAATTGACATTTCTGCTCCGCTGCATGAGCCTTCAGTTTGTTATTTAATAAATTATAATTGAAAATTATCCCACGCTTTGTCAAATAACGTTTTTCAACCCCACAACTAAATTCCGCATTGAAACGATATGCCGTCAGCCGATAGTTGAACTAGTAACTACAACTTTTATTTGTTTATTGCATTTATTATATATTATGCCCGATAATCACAAAGAGTATAGGGGTATATAGGGTTTGTGGGGTAAGTGGATGTGTAGAACAATAAGAAGGAAGTGTTTCCAAACCCAAAAAAAAATCCCATACATGATCATCATCAATAGCCGATAGTCGATAGAGCCAAATCTGTCTGTCCGTCCGTTTGTCCCCACAAAGGGTCGTCCCTCAGTGGCATCCACAATTTTGAAGATACGGGAAAACCAAAAATCATGAAATCATAGATCATTATTATAGAAAATTACCATATATTCCAGACTGTAGAATCTGAATCAAATCGGAACATTATTATAGCCATACGGACCAAATGAATTTTACTCAGTTTCTGCATCTCTCTCACACACTCATTGTTGTGCATTGTGTGCGCCCTCTGGTGGAGGGGAGCCATACTGACTGGGTTTCGGGTATCAATGTAGAGTCGCGGCCGACTCACAACGTACCCACTCGTTTTCTATTATTTTGAGCGCATCTGAACTCGTATGTATGTTTGTACATTGCAAATACAGATGTATGCGAGTATGTGAATATCTTCAGATGCTTACATCAAAGTTTCAGCCTTAAACCTATCAATTAAGTTCGCCTTCCTAATCCGTCCCGTTCAGATCAATTAGTTTGTTAAGAGGAAAGGCAAATAACTTGATACTTTCACTCCTTCTCCCCCTCCAAAAAAAAGTTTCTTATCCGAATTTTAACTTTGTCCTTCCTGGAGACTTTGAACTAGTTATCCACTCGGTTAATGAAAAGTCCTTGCCACACGTGACACTTGACAGGCTAGCTGGGAGACAAGCGAAAGCCCCGAATGTCCCAAGACATTGACACTGATGCTGATACTGAAGTAGAGGCACCCAGAGACTGGGGGCTCAAATTCGAAGAATTATTTGATTGAAATTAATTATAAGCAGAAGTCTCACATGTTTCGGGGGTAGGTATTCCCTCTTCTCGTTACAACCACCTGGTAGTGATTCCAACCCCATAAAGCAAATATAAATTAATGAAAAGAGAAATCCAACATATTTTTACTTACATGCATTCATTGCATTGCCGAGTATAAGTCGCGCCAACTATAGAAATATAGCATTATCTCAAGGCATAACCGGCCCTAGAGTATACCCCAAAACATTCCAGGACATGGAGTATTTCTGGAGTTCAGTTTTTACAAATGTTACAAATCTCGTGCAATACCGACCATTTATTGACTTACCCTTCCTGTTGGATTGGATAGATGGATACGCATCTAAACCATAATATTCAAGGAAATCGGGGGAAAAGGAGTTCAAGAGATATGAACAATTAAAGTTGACAATTTTTGTAGTGATCTATAATATAATCTATAGTGGAATATTACGATTACTATTTTAGTCACTTTTTTACGTGTGTTGTTGTTTTGTATAAATAATAATAATAATTGTTAATATGTTCTTTGAATATTCCTTTACCTTAAAGTGCTCTTAAGGTATGCTCTTAAATACCAGATCAAACCTCAAAGCTCGAATAAGTATATCGTACGAAATCCGATATGAAGGTAAAAAAGTTAGAGCAGAAAGCATTTTGTCGTTCCGTAATTTGTATACAGTCATATACCAAAACTACAGATACAGAACCGATGCAAAATTTTGAAAATGAAGAAAAAAGTACTTGAAGTCTTTCCTCTTCGGGACTCCTCAACACTTTTTGACATTCAAGGAACATGTAAGGACATTTTATGAGAGGTCCGACGATGATTGTGATGATAATGATGGTGATGATGATGGGGGTTAGGACTAACTAATCTTTGTTTAAATTTAAGCGCTGGCAATTATTAGCCAAGTCGAGGCGAAAGGGTCTGATATCTGGGTGAGAGCCGCGGATGTGCCGCCTCCTTCATGCATCATTCATACGCTTAGCGTGTTAATTATCCTGAAATTCGGTCTATTAAAGTTTCAACAGTCTCGCATACATTGGGGGATGCTCCTTCGAGCGAAGCTAACCCCAGTTTTTCCCCCAATTTCCACCCATCTCAAACGTAATTAATGAAAGCGTACTTAAATCATTTTTGTGCGTGGGCCCCACAAAAATACCCACTAAAAAAATATACAAAAAAAATACAATTAGTTAACAAGCGAGAAAAGGAACAAGCATTGCAAACGAGGCAGACAACGAGGGGGCGAGAAAGTGGGAAGAGAAGAGAGGATGAGGGGATGATGGGAAGATGGGAAGACGGAAAGAGAGGCAATGAGGAATACCCAAAAAGCAAATCCAGCAAAGGTGCCAGGCCGCGCGCTAAAACGTTTCAATTTTTCATAAATATTCAAAAAGGTAACAAAACAGCAACAACAAAAACAGTTTCCTAAGAGGGGGGTATGGGGTGGGGGATGACAACAGCTGCCCCTGTTTTTTGTATATTTTTTGAGTAATTTTTTGTTTTTTTGTGTGAGTTTTGCAAGGAGCGCGGATTCCTCATTCAACGGTCAGCCTCAGAGTTTCAGCTCCAGCTTCGTTATCGCCTTTGTGTTTTGTAGGTGTTGTTACCAATCTTTTTTGCCCCCTCCCCGGCTAACTGCTGTTCGTTCCTCTCTTCCCCATGGAGAGAAGTCCTGGAAGCTACTCTTCTGCTCTGTCCCTTTCTCTGTCGGCGCGAGTGGACAACAAATAAGAAATTCAAGTTGAAAGCAGGGCCCCACGAAGCTGGAATACACTTACTGGGAAATGAAATTTCGGAATGCTCCTTAAATTCTTACATTTCTTACATTTCCGACAATTTTAGCCTTTTGGAAAACATCAGACATTTTATTGCGAATTTTCCAATCATTCATTGGCAGGGGACAGTTCTAAAAAGTGAACAAAAAACTAGTGGATACGTGAATGAAACAGAAAACAAACATTTCTTATTTTAAGATTTTTTTAAGGATACTTTTTCTGCAATCTTGTAAGCTCCGACCAACAAATGGATCTGTGGATCTAAAAACCTTGGGGAGAATACAAACCTCGAGAATGGTTGCCATCAGATTTTCCCTCACATAGGGTATGCGAATAAACAACAACAGCAGGAGCGAAAAAGCGGCACCCAAAAAAGAGGAAAACTTTTTCGATTTAAGCAATTTTTATTCTCGCTGTTTTCGCACGGTAGCAAGGGTAGGCAGCTCCAGGGATACTTGTGGCCAATTGAACAATTGTATAAGCATTTAAATTTGTATAGAAGTTTCCAAAAGTTGGGTATTTTCAGTTCGCAGCAAAATATTTACAAATGTACAAACATTATTACAGGAGAAATATTGAACATAAATAGATTTGAATGGCTCTTACTCGCAGCCCTCCTTCGTATCTCCACTGTTGACTCTTTAATTTAATTAATCTTTGATTTTTTTACTGTCGCGGATGCCTTGAATCTCATGCGATTCGCACCGGTTTCCAAGAGTTTTCTGGGATAGGATACAAATTCGTATACAAAAAACTGATGAGCAGGTTATGCTATCCATCTCATCCAATTCACAATAGCTCACAAACTTCTGTTCTTTGGTTTTCTCTAGCATCCTTTGTTCTGCAGTTCATCAGTCTTAACAGCTTTTATCTTTTTGTCTTAATTTTCCGATACATGTTCACATACAATATCTTTTTTTGATATTCTTGAACTATTTTTATTACAATTCATTGTCGATTTCATATCGTAGGACTACGATATAAAGTTGGTCGACTACATTCGTTGCAACGTTGTGCTTTTATTCATATACATGTGTACATATGTATAGATATAGACATATGTACATACTATGTATATGCATATAGAATGTTCTTTCTTTCTTTTGGAGAGCCCCCGACGAGGTTCAGTTAGGGCTAGGCCAAGGCAGCCAAAGAGCGTCCGAAAATTAATGCAAATTTATATCGTGGAAAACTTTTCAATTTGTTTCTACTTTTTTACTACCCCCCACAAGCCCCCACAAGCCCCCACAAGCCCCTGCCTGACCCACTCTTTCGCTCTCTTTCTGTCTCGTTTTCTCTGTCATTTGCTGCAGAATCATCCCAAGTGTTCCGTCGCGTACCCCTCGTAGCGCCTTATCTCAGTCTGGTAAGTATTTTGTATTTAACATGCACAATTTGGCCATTTTTGGAGCCATAATTAACGTGCCGCCAATGCATATATCCGGATCCAAGGACGACGACGAGGACGGGGGCGAAACAAGCTAAATGACGAGGTCCCAGTCTGCCAAGTTGGGCCACCTTGAATTAGTCTTTAGAGGGAGTCTGGGCGTCTCTTGGGCAATGCAGACACTGAGAGAAATGTTAGCAATGTGCGACAGAAGTCTGATAACCAAATACCAAAGAGTGAAGAACGTGTGAGTAGAAGTAAGGAGCAAGGAATGTCCAGTACGAAATTGTGCGAGTGAGCATGTTGTGCTTAATATTCGTGTAGATTGAGGACCATGTTCTGATCGTATTTTTGGTACCAAATAGAGTAGGTCGACCCGTTGCTGTTTTCCAATGAACAATGTTATGTGTTACCAGTTAATCCGGAAGGTATAAACTTGGATTTTTGAATAAGTTGGGCAGCATAATCCAACAAGTGTTTTGGGGCTCTTCGTTATGCGAAACGAATGTATATTAGGAACAAACAATTTTGCAACGTAACTCGTGTCACTATTGCAAGAGGCAAGCTAACATATAATCGTACCTGGAATAGCAACGAACAGGATGTCGTCTGGAGGCTGGAGGCTGGAGGCACCGCGGTGGCGGTGAGGCGGTGGCCAACGGCAATCCCTCCGTTGGACTCAAGGCTTCTAATGGTGTCGTGGTTGCCACAGGAAACAGGCTAGGGGCATTCTATGGGGCCCACATTCCGCACTTTGTGACTGCGATTGACAAGTATATTGGTGCCGCGTTTTCCGGACTGTGTCCCGACTATCGCCTCCTCGTGAAAAGGTGACTATCGTTGCGCTCACAAGGAGCCGATTAGAGTGCCGCAGCTGGTGAATGGCGTTGGCACCTTCATGCTGGAGCACATCCAGCCCGGGGGCGCCCGCCCTTTTGGTGCGTCTATGTTGATCTGCGGCTCGCGCCAAAAGGATTACTATCTCTATCAGTTGAAGCCCTCGGGCATCTGCGTACCCCTGCAGGCCGTTACACAGGGCGTCAACGCAAATGAATGCAACACTTTCCTGGCGGATCAATACAAAGCTGATTTAAGGATAGAGGAACCCGCTACACTAGCAGCTCGCTGTCTGAAGAAAGCCTTCGGGAATACCCTGACTGGCGTCACCGTTGAGGTCGGGATTTGTATGGCGAGTAGATTCCAAGTTCAGGACCCAACGACCGTCGCTGAACTAATGGCCAAATGGGCCTAAACATTCAACACGCAACATAGAATAGCCACTCTAGCTATCTCTCTCACTCTGTTACAAGTACATAATACATTCCTTAATTGGAAGGCATTCCACTATTTCCTTCAACGTTCCTTCACAATGGAATACCAGAGCTGGCGAGGAGATCATAGAATATCAGGTAAAATACAAGATACTGCTACACAACGTTGTAAAGATTCACTGTTTGGTTCAGCTCATTTCGTTCAGTGTTCCTCCTTATGCCGCCCATTTTCCCCGGACGGGAGTGGGGGCGGAAGAGCGAGGGCAGTGAAGAGCGTAGACAGCCAAATGCCGCAATCAAGTTATTATTAAGTTTTTCTATTTATCCAACATAATTCATAATTTGTTTACAAAGCGTATAATAATATTAACGTCTTATCCCGGCTTCTGGGCCTCCGTCTTTGCCTTCTTCAGGGCTGGCTGTCTGTTGCTACCGTCAGGGACCGTCGGTGCCATGAGCTCTGTTCCCGTTCCCGTTCCCGTTCCCACTGTGCCTGTCCCCGTCCCCGTCCCCGTCCCTGTCCCTTTTCCTGACCCTGACCACTGCCACTAAGTCCGCTGTCAGCGCGGACCAGATAATCAGCTACAAAAGTCGACGTGGACTTTCCTCATTTTATCCTTCGCTGGTGTCTCGCTTTTTCTTTTCTTTCTGTTTCGGTTTTTGGTTTGTAGAGCAGCATGGAAATCACATTAGATGGAGCGACACGGGGGCGGGCGGAGGCAGCCGCGGAAAGGGGCAGTAATTTTTGCAACGGACAGCTGTAACTTGCCCGGCCCGTTCCGGCCGCGTCTAACCGGACATTAGAGATGGTCTGTAGCCCAGGAAGCAGTGTGTGTCTTTTGTCACGAAACTATTGAACAGCGCACCCAAGAGAGTACTCATTTTTTGAGTTCTATCATTATCCCTGGAAGGGACACCCCCGTGAAGGGTAAAGACGTTCGTCGAACAGACGAAAATAAATTGTTGGCATATATAACTCGAAACCTGTACTCATTTTTTCTATGGAAAACATTTAAATATACCTTCTGAAGCTTTCCTGATATTAAAATATAAAGAGTTTTTGACATTCAAGACATTTTTTTGACTAACAAAAATATGACCAAAAATTTGACTTGTCTTCTAAGATCGTGTTTTGGATTGAGCCTGAAATCTGCTTTGAAGTCCAAACCTTAAAAATGTTCGAATGATCTATTGAACAAATATGAATTATCCTTGAATGTCTGTGCAAGTCTCAATTTTGTCCTAAAAAAAATCGACTTGAGAATCACTTTGTGGAGAAACGTTTTCGACGTATACTTAATATTTTAAGAATCATTTTTCGACAAATTAGTATTTTTGCAAACTTTTGTTCATTGAAAAAGAGTTGCACAGTCAAGTCTAACTATTGAATAATAACTATTGAAATTTAACAACTTGAAAAAACGCCTGCCACTACTATAGATCAACAGGAATGTGTGAACAATAAATAAAGGGAAAACAAAAATTGTGTTCGACGATGCTACGAAGTTTTACCCTTCTAGGCCTAAGAGCCTAAAAGTGAGTAGACTTTCAGTTCCCATCCCTTTGAAGTGCCTATCGAAAAGTGTACAAAAAGGACCTCTAGACTGTTTTACAGTCGGGAGCTATCCAAGCAAACCTCTTGTAGGGAGGGGACAAGCTGGTGGTAATACCAGTACTATAGGTACCATAAAATACTGTGTTATAATATTTAATTCTTGCTGTATGGCTATCTGAAATCTAAGTGGAATGGTGAAAAATATAATATATAATCATGGACCTGAGGTGGTGACACACACAGAAAACATGTATCATATTATATTTCGTGGTTTTGTTTTAAAATATTGCGAGTGAGTAGTACCACTAAGACTATGACGAATAAACATCACTACTATCGTTCGCTTAATGAGCACGAATGAAGCCGAAGCCCAGTCACGCGCACATCCCTGAAACCTGGCTAGAACGATGACGCGAAGTGACGGCCGGCCTCCCATAATCGCATTAGACAAAGCGAACGAGAACGAGAACGAGAACTAGAACGAGAACGAGAACGAGACGAAGGCAACGCACTTTCTAGACCAGAGGCATTTGGTATACATATATATTACTTTTTTTATTGGCCAACTTCCGGTGAAAGTTTGGTGACCACAGCCGCGACCGTACTCAACTGATTATTCTTTTGCTGCTCCCTTTTCGGGAATTTTTTAGCGTTGTTGTCATTCTTAATTTTTTTTTGTTTGCCTGGGTGACACTTTTTAGGGAAAAGTGCACACGGTTGAGTAGTTGGGGGCAGAAGTGCTGAAAATCGCTTTAAATCAAAATAAATAAAAAATACATGACGCGAGGCCCGGAAATCGCGCACCACGAGTCGGGGACACGGCACGGAGTGGAAGTGGGAGTGGGAGTGAGAGCAGAGTTCTGGTGCGGATGGTGACAAAACATTACCCCCAGTTTATGCAAACGGGAATTAACTTAATTGAGTAGCGTGAACAGCACAGCACAGCACAACACAGAGAAAAAGGGGCTGGAGCAGCGACTGTGACAGTAACAGTGACAGGAGCATAGCCAGAGAGAATAAGGAGAAAGATGCTCCCTGCTTTAGAAGAGCCAGCGATGCACTGAAAGAAAGAGCTAGTGCAATAGCTTCAGAAATCTCATGTCAGCATTCCCCATGGGATCCCTATTGTATCGCTAAGAGGATGTACAAACCTTCACTGAGAGAATGCTTTTGGCTACTCTCCATATAAAAGAAATGTGCTTAAGTATATCTTCTCCTTTGCAGTCTTAAAGAGTTAAAGAGTCGAATTATATGGAGTTGCTCAGTCCTTTTGCGTGTGTAAAGATGCTCAAATGGTAGTGTCGAATGGCTCAATTCTGTATTATCCAGAAACCCCTCTGCTTTTGGGGCGTACAGTGAAAAAAGTATAATACTGCCTCAAAAGGGCTATTGTCTCAGAGTGGGATGATCACAACAGGTCCTTCTACCTTAAAAGTGGGCTCTTCTGTTGAAGGAAGACCATATTGAATCTCGGAAAACCTTAATACAAATCATTGTTTAAGTTCAATTGAAATACATATGTAAGTATGTATCTGATTTTGCACATACATATATGTGGTTGTTTCCTATTTGTCGTGATTAAAATCAAAGAAAATAATCTACAAAATATATACAAAGTAGTGGTAGAATACCATCCACATTTTCCATTCGCTGAAATCGCAAGGAAAATAGATCTGAAAACGTATGCGTCTATAGAATAAATTTATGACCTGCCACTCTACCTTCTGTAAAGCTCTTCCGAAAGTCTTATAAGTCTTTCACTGCAGAAACACGATTGATCGGGAATACTGCATCTGATAGGTCGCACAAGGTACGGACAAATTGAATATTGTACATACACATATTGCTAGCTCTAAGAGCGAGTATTTCTTGCTCGTTGAATCTACTATTACACCTTTTTGTTCAGTGCAGCAGAAAAGGCCTCTGCCAATGGGAAAGCACGAGACAACAGACAAATGGCAGAATGTACGAAGAAGGAGCGGAACTACCGTTGGAGTTGACAGCACGCGGGAGAGAAGATACGAGTGTATCTGCAAGGCGAAGTGCGCTTAGTGGTAGGAGGGAGATGAGAGGGATGAGAGCTTTCCCAAGGTTACGGCTTGCCCCATAATTGCGCATAAAAGTGAAGCGATTTATATGCGCGTATTTTTAATGTTTCATAATTGGGTAAGCCCATCATCAGATGGGAAAAAGGGAAGACAAGGGCGAGGCGGGGAGCAGGATGGCAAAGGATATGTGAGCCTCTGCTGCCTAGCAATACCCGTGTGTTAATGTCTGCTTACTTTCTCCCTGCTTTCTATTTCTCCTAAGCCCTAATGAATAAACGAGTTGTAGGGGCAGAGGCTTGCGGGGTCAAGTCGATCCAAGTCTGTCCTCAACAAATTTGATGATCGCTTTGGATAATTCGAATGAACGTATCTGATAGAGATGCATCATCAGATAGATCATCAGGGCAGGAGTGGCATATCTATCGGGATTCGTAAATTCACGAAATAAACGCCAGCAGTATCACTTCAAAGGCAAAAAGTACAAAAATTAATTGTTCCCGCTGTGGAGCAATTAAAACTTCATCGATGAAACAGTGATATCTGATCTGCCATGAACAATCACTCCCACGCCCACACACCGATTTAAATACTTACATGTACAGTGTACACAGAGGCAGATAAATTAGTTGTGCAACGACTCCACATATCATTTATAGATGATAATGCACAATCACCATAAAGCGTGCAACTCTGCTGCCGATAACGAGACGGGTAGATGATAACGTCCATCGCTGGATGGAAGATTATAATAAATAAGCCATAATTCATTTGTTAATTCAACCATAATTCGGTCTGCTTTAATGTCCATTATTTGTATTCATTCCTTGAAAGTTCATTTAGGGCCCAACCATCCAGGAGATGTTGAAGATGGGTCGAATGGGAATGGATAGGATGCTGGCAAGATGGAAAGATGGAAAGATATGGAGAGGGGAAGATGGGGGTGTGGTGTCACTGTTTTGGGGGGGCGTTGCGTTCATTAAAATTGAAAAACGCCACTTTAATGAATTTATTTGCGACACTTAGCGCAAGTGAAGGCAAACGGAGAGAAATGATGTTCATTAACATAAAAATGGCGCTTTTCCACCAGAGTGGCCATTCTTCTGGCGACCCCAAACTCCATCCCTCGGGCAGGGGCAGAACAACCATTGACAGTGCGGTAAGGTCGGCTCGTGGCTCGTGGCTCGCGGCTCGCGGCTCGAGGCTCCACGGCGCGTGGGCTTGTCTTGGGTGGCGGTGGGTCTGACCTGGCAATTGTCATTACCATTTCGACTGTTTCGACGACAAAGCTGTTAGCCTTCAATTGATGACTCAATATGTCACCGAGTTGACAGGTCACGTTGCACCTACCCACAAGGCCCTTCCCTGCCTCCTGCCTCCTGATCCCACACCCCCGGCAGTACGTCCGGCCTTATTACTGTTCGAATAGTTATTATTGAGACTTTCAACTCATTTCCCATGTTTCGCTGTTTCAGGATGGCGAAATGGCTTGTGAGGTAATTTAATTAATGCGAATCGCAATCATCAATCCACTGTCTGTTCCCCATTCAGATATGGTGTATGACTGTTACGCGTGGATACGAGATATTCCGTGTTCTCAGTTAGCAGAATCCCCACCTTACTTTATCAATTAGTTTTTTTCCAGTGTGTTCTTCCATTTCTTTCGAATGTCTGTCACTGACATCCCTTCCAAAATTAAATCCCCCATTACGTCCATCGGTTCCCCAAAGGGAAGTGTGAGTCCTCCCTGCAGCTGTGTGTTGGCACAGGTTGGCAGCCCTCCAATCGAAACTGTAAACTGGTTGGCACTCGCATGTGTTTGGTGTGATTGGCTCACGACGAGAAGGCGAGAGAAGGTAGCAGGAGAAGAGGCAGGTGACGGGTCAAGAAGTCGGGCCACAAGCAATTACATTTCAGTTTATGTTGCCTGTGTGCCCTGTGTTGCACTTTGCTGCCTGCCGCTTTGCTACCTCCTCCGAGATCGGGGGATCCTTGTTGCTGCTGTTTCTGCTGTTTCTGCTGGCTATTGCTGGTTGTTTCTGGTTGTTTGTGCGCTGCTTTCGCTTTTAGGGGCCCGGCTAATTCAATTGCTTAGGCACAATGAGCAGAGCCAACAACTCAGCTGCAAATTGCTTAATGCTCCAAGTCACGTGTTCACCCTGTTCAGCATATGGGACGCTTCTTGCGGTTAATTTGCTGCGTCTCTACGTCTATCCCGCCTTCCAATCATAACCTCTTTCCACCCTCCACTCACCAATCTCCACTTGAGCCCCCTCGTTCGAGTCCTGTGTAGAGTTGGGCTCGTGACACGAGCGTAGGGGAAGTGAGAGCCTGATCAGTGATTGCCCAGCCCAGATCGCGGCGACTCGCCGAGCATTTACTCGGCATATCGAAATAGTACGTCATGTTTCTGAGGCGACATTTCTAATAAAAGTAATTTTTTAAAGAAAGAAAAATAATCAATTTTCTATTGGATACTTGAATGTGCGTGCCGACTTCATTATTTAATATCGACTTTGAATACTCATTTGATTCTTGGTTATTTGTTTTTGGTATTGGAATTTCGAATATTTTACTTTAGGATATTTTCCCACTGTAGATATTATAATTTCCCGAGTTAGAGCTGAATGATGCTCACGTAATCGACAAACTTCGACTTCGAATATCTCTGTGACCGCTGACTTGCGTGAATGAATATCCTCATATCCCGTTACGAAACCATCGCTAGATGGGTTGACCAAAGTCAACAATGACACATGCACAGGGAAACCCGTCGTCGTCGCCACTTTGTTTGCACTTGGAGATTTGGAGCCCTGCCTCCAGTTTGGAGGCCCCATGGAGGGTATGGACTCATGTGGATGTTTGTGCTTGAGTGGGGGCAGGGCCTGGCCGTGGGCCTTGTTTAAACGGGAATTGTAGTGGAAAGCCTTGACCAGTTTGACAGAGTTTTGACGGAGCTTAAACCAAGTTGTCTCCGGGAAGAGAAGAACCAATGGATGAATAATTGAAGCTCGACAGTTTTGTGTCACATATTATTACTTAGCTAGCAGATATCAACAAAAGGCAGTGAAAGACAGTAATCTTAGGAACCGGATACGCAATTCGTTTAATGAGAATCATCAATATCTTTCGCTCCATTTGGTACATGTCCATCAAATGATATAGGCATATATGGCTGATAATTTTAGTTTTTCTCGGCATTCCCGTTATTACAGCTATTCTGGTCGTACTCGGTTCTATTTACCTGGGCCTGCTTCAAGATTGGCAGTAGTTGGCCGTTCTTCCCCATCTGCTTGAGCAGCTCCACGATGAAGGGCAAGTAGTTGTGACGACGGCGTGTGTTCTCAATGCGGTATTGACGGTTCTTCTCCTTCTCGATTCGCAGTCTGTCGAGCAGATGGTTCATCTCCGACTCTCGCTGGGATTTCGGCATCTGTAGCGAGCGCCGTTGGAACTGCTCGATTTGGCTCTCGTAGAAGCTCTGCCGGTCCGAGACCAGTGCCATCAGATTGAAGTTGAGATCATCGGCGCTGTAGCGCTGCATGCGCTCCTCGATTATCGGCCGGACGATGTCCAGCCAGTTCTGGCCCGGTCCGATCTCGGCCAACTCCGTGGGTCCCATCCGCAAGCCATCCAGCTCGTAGAGCTTCTCGCCTATGGGCATGTAGCCGACAAAGTGGTAGACGTCTGCATCGCTCTCGTCTTGCTGGGGTTCGTCCACAACGAAAGTGGAACGTGGCTGGAGACTTATACGGGGACGGGCGAACGAGTTATGGGCTGTGCGGATCTTCCCTTCGTTACTCAGGCAGTAGCCGCGACTGAGCGGATCCAACTCGCGGGTGACATGCTTAAAGCGCGTTAGTGTCTCTCCGAGTTCGATGTCCGGGTGACTAAGGTTGAGCAGCAGACTGATGATGGCCTGGGTGGCGCAGGAATTCCTGACCACCTGCTGGGCGAAGTAGATGTTGCCAAGGTCGCTGACCACACGGCCAGTGGGCTGTTCGTCCGCCAACCACTTGACGAGAAAGATGAGGCCGTGTATCGGCTCCAAGCTCTTGAATGTGTCTGGGTCCAGGCTCCAGATCTCCTCCATCTGCGCTCCCACGCAGCCAAAGTCACGTATCAGCTGTGTGAAGACACCGGGATCGCTCTCGATCTGGCACCAGCTCAAATTTTCAGCTTCTGCATTGAAGTTCGATGCCAGTGCCTGGAGGGTTTCCGTTGCATTGGGATCTTCCATTTCGGTGTTCCTAGTACATAAGTTTTAATTTTTGGATTACCAGTGTCGCCAGATGTGTAAATCTCAATCCGAGTGATGTTATTCTGTTCTGTTCTGTTCATGACATACTTACTCAGATATAATAGGGGATTCATGACTCCTCAATTTACTGAAACATTTGCTCGCATTTATTATATTCAGTTGATCAATTATTTCACTTATTCGCGATGAAGAAATACATCCAAGGACGGGGCCTGGGACGGCTTTCTATTGAAGTGAGGAGCCCAGGGTGAAGCGGGAGCATGCGCCACCTTCATCAATCGGGGAAGCCCCTTGGACCATAGAGACCAGGGGTCGAAGAAAATACGAGTAGCTTGCATGATCCTTTGGTTTGCTCTTCCATTTATGCTGATCATATGTTAGGATTGCTGTGCTTATAGAACCGTTTTATTAAACCAGAACTTTCGTGAAGAAAAGCTATAGACCTTAAGAGTGCTTGTTAGCCGCTGTCCCCTTGGCGTTTAACTACTTTTTTCACTCCTGGAGCAGCTTTTCTGTGAGGTAATTGATTCCGAATGGAAGGGAGTTGAGTGCGGTACGGCGCGGAGCTTTTTTCTTATGTAGCTTCAAAGCACGTATAAAAGTAAGCTTTCCGCCGCCAAAGCTTTCATCCGCTGCATGTCCGTTCGTGTAGTTCCTAAGTTTTCCGCTGATGTTCATTTTCGTGTTTTGATACACTTGAAGATTTTTTCCATACACTGGCCCCCACTCAAGCACAAACATCCACATGAGTCCATGCCCTCCATGGGGCCTCCAAACTGGAGGCAGGGCTCCAAATCTCCAAGTGCAAACAAAGTGGCGACGACGACGGGTTTCCCTGTGCATGTGTCATTGTTGACTTTGGTCAACCCATCTAGCGATGGTTTCGTAACGGGATATGAGGATATTCATTCACGCAAGTCAGCGGTCACAGAGATATACAAAGATGAAGTTTGTCGATTACGTGAGCATCATTCAGCTCTAACTCGGGAAATTATAATATCTACACTGGGAAAATATCCTAAAGTAAAATATTCGAAATTCCAATACCAAAAACAAATAACCAAGAATCAAATGAGTATTCAAAGTCGATATTAAATAATGAAGTCGGCACGCACATTCAAGTATCCAATAGAAAATTGATTATTTTTCTTTCTTTAAAAAATTACTTTTATTAGAAATGTCGCCTCAGAAACATGACGTACTATTTCGATATGCCGAGTAAATGCTCGGCGAGTCGCCGCGATCTGGGCTGGGCAATCACTGATCAGGCTCTCACTTCCCCTACGCTCGTGTCACGAGCCCAACTCTACACAGGACTCGAACGAGGGGGCTCAAGTGGAGATTGGTGAGTGGAGGGTGGAAAGAGGTTATGATTGGAAGGCGGGATAGACGTAGAGACGCAGCAAATTAACCGCAAGAAGCGTCCCATATGCTGAACAGGGTGAACACGTGACTTGGAGCATTAAGCAATTTGCAGCTGAGTTGTTGGCTCTGCTCATTGTGCCTAAGCAATTGAATTAGCCGGGCCCCTAAAAGCGAAAGCAGCGCACAAACAACCAGAAACAACCAGCAATAGCCAGCAGAAACAGCAGAAACAGCAGCAACAAGGATCCCCCGATCTCGGAGGAGGTAGCAAAGCGGCAGGCAGCAAAGTGCAACACAGGGCACACAGGCAACATAAACTGAAATGTAATTGCTTGTGGCCCGACTTCTTGACCCGTCACCTGCCTCTTCTCCTGCTACCTTCTCTCGCCTTCTCGTCGTGAGCCAATCACACCAAACACATGCGAGTGCCAACCAGTTTACAGTTTCGATTGGAGGGCTGCCAACCTGTGCCAACACACAGCTGCAGGGAGGACTCACACTTCCCTTTGGGGAACCGATGGACGTAATGGGGGATTTAATTTTGGAAGGGATGTCAGTGACAGACATTCGAAAGAAATGGAAGAACACACTGGAAAAAAACTAATTGATAAAGTAAGGTGGGGATTCTGCTAACTGAGAACACGGAATATCTCGTATCCACGCGTAACAGTCATACACCATATCTGAATGGGGAACAGACAGTGGATTGATGATTGCGATTCGCATTAATTAAATTACCTCACAAGCCATTTCGCCATCCTGAAACAGCGAAACATGGGAAATGAGTTGAAAGTCTCAATAATAACTATTCGAACAGTAATAAGGCCGGACGTACTGCCGGGGGTGTGGGATCAGGAGGCAGGAGGCAGGGAAGGGCCTTGTGGGTAGGTGCAACGTGACCTGTCAACTCGGTGACATATTGAGTCATCAATTGAAGGCTAACAGCTTTGTCGTCGAAACAGTCGAAATGGTAATGACAATTGCCAGGTCAGACCCACCGCCACCCAAGACAAGCCCACGCGCCGTGGAGCCTCGAGCCGCGAGCCGCGAGCCACGAGCCACGAGCCGACCTTACCGCACTGTCAATGGTTGTTCTGCCCCTGCCCGAGGGATGGAGTTTGGGGTCGCCAGAAGAATGGCCACTCTGGTGGAAAAGCGCCATTTTTATGTTAATGAACATCATTTCTCTCCGTTTGCCTTCACTTGCGCTAAGTGTCGCAAATAAATTCATTAAAGTGGCGTTTTTCAATTTTAATGAACGCAACGCCCCCCCAAAACAGTGACACCACACCCCCATCTTCCCCTCTCCATATCTTTCCATCTTTCCATCTTGCCAGCATCCTATCCATTCCCATTCGACCCATCTTCAACATCTCCTGGATGGTTGGGCCCTAAATGAACTTTCAAGGAATGAATACAAATAATGGACATTAAAGCAAACCGAATTATGGTTGAATTAACAAATGAATTATGGCTTATTTATTATAATCTTCCATCCAGCGATGGACGTTATCATCTACCCGTCTCGTTATCGGCAGCAGAGTTGCACGCTTTATGGTGATTGTGCATTATCATCTATAAATGATATGTGGAGTCGTTGCACAACTAATTTATCTGCCTCTGTGTACACTGTACATGTAAGTATTTAAATCGGTGTGTGGGCGTGGGAGTGATTGTTCATGGCAGATCAGATATCACTGTTTCATCGATGAAGTTTTAATTGCTCCACAGCGGGAACAATTAATTTTTGTACTTTTTGCCTTTGAAGTGATACTGCTGGCGTTTATTTCGTGAATTTACGAATCCCGATAGATATGCCACTCCTGCCCTGATGATCTATCTGATGATGCATCTCTATCAGATACGTTCATTCGAATTATCCAAAGCGATCATCAAATTTGTTGAGGACAGACTTGGATCGACTTGACCCCGCAAGCCTCTGCCCCTACAACTCGTTTATTCATTAGGGCTTAGGAGAAATAGAAAGCAGGGAGAAAGTAAGCAGACATTAACACACGGGTATTGCTAGGCAGCAGAGGCTCACATATCCTTTGCCATCCTGCTCCCCGCCTCGCCCTTGTCTTCCCTTTTTCCCATCTGATGATGGGCTTACCCAATTATGAAACATTAAAAATACGCGCATATAAATCGCTTCACTTTTATGCGCAATTATGGGGCAAGCCGTAACCTTGGGAAAGCTCTCATCCCTCTCATCTCCCTCCTACCACTAAGCGCACTTCGCCTTGCAGATACACTCGTATCTTCTCTCCCGCGTGCTGTCAACTCCAACGGTAGTTCCGCTCCTTCTTCGTACATTCTGCCATTTGTCTGTTGTCTCGTGCTTTCCCATTGGCAGAGGCCTTTTCTGCTGCACTGAACAAAAAGGTGTAATAGTAGATTCAACGAGCAAGAAATACTCGCTCTTAGAGCTAGCAATATGTGTATGTACAATATTCAATTTGTCCGTACCTTGTGCGACCTATCAGATGCAGTATTCCCGATCAATCGTGTTTCTGCAGTGAAAGACTTATAAGACTTTCGGAAGAGCTTTACAGAAGGTAGAGTGGCAGGTCATAAATTTATTCTATAGACGCATACGTTTTCAGATCTATTTTCCTTGCGATTTCAGCGAATGGAAAATGTGGATGGTATTCTACCACTACTTTGTATATATTTTGTAGATTATTTTCTTTGATTTTAATCACGACAAATAGGAAACAACCACATATATGTATGTGCAAAATCAGATACATACTTACATATGTATTTCAATTGAACTTAAACAATGATTTGTATTAAGGTTTTCCGAGATTCAATATGGTCTTCCTTCAACAGAAGAGCCCACTTTTAAGGTAGAAGGACCTGTTGTGATCATCCCACTCTGAGACAATAGCCCTTTTGAGGCAGTATTATACTTTTTTCACTGTACGCCCCAAAAGCAGAGGGGTTTCTGGATAATACAGAATTGAGCCATTCGACACTACCATTTGAGCATCTTTACACACGCAAAAGGACTGAGCAACTCCATATAATTCGACTCTTTAACTCTTTAAGACTGCAAAGGAGAAGATATACTTAAGCACATTTCTTTTATATGGAGAGTAGCCAAAAGCATTCTCTCAGTGAAGGTTTGTACATCCTCATAGCGATACAATAGGGATCCCATGGGGAATGCTGACATGAGATTTCTGAAGCTATTGCACTAGCTCTTTCTTTCAGTGCATCGCTGGCTCTTCTAAAGCAGGGAGCATCTTTCTCCTTATTCTCTCTGGCTATGCTCCTGTCACTGTTACTGTCACAGTCGCTGCTCCAGCCCCTTTTTCTCTGTGTTGTGCTATGCTGTGCTGTTCACGCTACTCAATTAAGTTAATTCCCGTTTGCATAAACTGGGGGTAATGTTTTGTCACCATCCGCACCAGAACTCTGCTCTCACTCCCACTCCCACTTCCACTCCGTGCCGTGTCCCCGACTCGTGGTGCGCGATTTCCGGGCCTCGCGTCATGTATTTTTTATTTATTTTGATTTAAAGCGATTTTCAGCACTTCTGCCCCCAACTACTCAACCGTGTGCACTTTTCCCTAAAAAGTGTCACCCAGGCAAACAAAAAAAAATTAAGAATGACAACAACGCTAAAAAATTCCCGAAAAGGGAGCAGCAAAAGAATAATCAGTTGAGTACGGTCGCGGCTGTGGTCACCAAACTTTCACCGGAAGTTGGCCAATAAAAAAAGTAATATATATGTATACCAAATGCCTCTGGTCTAGAAAGTGCGTTGCCTTCGTCTCGTTCTCGTTCTCGTTCGCTTTGTCTAATGCGATTATGGGAGGCCGGCCGTCACTTCGCGTCATCGTTCTAGCCAGGTTTCAGGGATGTGCGCGTGACTGGGCTTCGGCTTCATTCGTGCTCATTAAGCGAACGATAGTAGTGATGTTTATTCGTCATAGTCTTAGTGGTACTACTCACTCGCAATATTTTAAAACAAAACCACGAAATATAATATGATACATGTTTTCTGTGTGTGTCACCGCCTCAGGTCCATGATTATATATTATATTTTTCACCATTCCACTTAGATTTCAGATAGCCATACAGCAAGAATTAAATATTATAACACAGTATTTTATGGTACCTATAGTACTGGTATTACCACCAGCTTGTCCCCTCACTACAAGAGGTTTGCTTGGATAGCTCCCGACTGTCCTTTTTGTACACTTTTCGATAGGCACTTCAAAGGAATGGGAACTGAAAGTCTACTCACTTTGACTGTGCAACTCTTTTCCAATGAAAAAAAGTTTGCAAAAATACTAATTTGTCGAAAAATGATTCTTAAAATATTAAGTATACGTCGAAAACGTTTCTCCACAAAGTGATTCTCAAGTCGATTTTTTTTAGGACAAAATTTAGACTTGCACAGACATTCAAGGATAATTCATATTTGTTCAATAGATCATTCGAACATTTTTAAGGTTTGGACTTCAAAGCAGATTTCAGGCTCAATCCAAAACACGATCTTAGAAGACAAGTCAAATTTTTGGTCATATTTTTGTTAGTCAAAAAAATGTCTTGAATGTCAAAAACTCTTTATATTTTAATATCAGGAAAGCTTCAGAAGGTATATTTAAATGTTTTCCATAGAAAAAATGAGTACAGGTTTCGAGTTATATATGCCAACAATTTATTTTCGTCTGTTCGACGAACGTCTTTACCCTTCACGGGGGTGTCCCTTCCAGGGATAATGATAAAACTCAAAAAATGAGTACTCTCTTGGGTGCGCTGTTCAATAGTTTCGTGACAAAAGACACACACTGCTTCCTGGGCCACAGACCATCTCTAATGTCCGGTTAGACGCGGCCGGGCCGGGCCGGGCAAGTTACAGCTGTCCGTTGCAAAAATTACTGCCCCTTTCCGCGGCTGCCTCCGCCCGCCCCCGTGTCGCTCCATCTAATGTGATTTCCATGCTGCTCTACAAACCAAAAACCGAAACAGAAAGAAAAGAAAAAGCGAGACACCAGCGAAGGATAAAATGAGGAAAGTCCACGTCGACTTTTGTAGCTGATTATCTGGTCCGCGCTGACAGCGGACTTAGTGGCAGTGGTCAGGGTCAGGAAAAGGGACAGGGACGGGGACGGGGACGGGGACAGGCACAGTGGGAACGGGAACGGGAACGGGAACAGAGCTCATGGCACCGACGGTCCCTGACGGTAGCAACAGACAGCCAGCCCTGAAGAAGGCAAAGACGGAGGCCCAGAAGCCGGGATAAGACGTTAATATTATTATACGCTTTGTAAACAAATTATGAATTATGTTGGATAAATAGAAAAACTTAATAATAACTTGATTGCGGCATTTGGCTGTCTACGCTCTTCACTGCCCTCGCTCTTCCGCCCCCACTCCCGTCCGGGGAAAATGGGCGGCATAAGGAGGAACACTGAACGAAATGAGCTGAACCAAACAGTGAATCTTTACAACGTTGTGTAGCAGTATCTTGTATTTTACCTGATATTCTATGATCTCCTCGCCAGCTCTGGTATTCCATTGTGAAGGAACGTTGAAGGAAATAGTGGAATGCTTTCCAATTAAGGAATGTATTATGTACTTGTAACAGCGTGAGAGAGATAGCTAGAGTGGCTATTCTATGTTGCATGTTGAATGTTTAGGCCCATTTGGCCATTAGTTCAGCGACGGTCGTTGGGTCCTGAACTTGGAATTTACTCGCCATACAGATCCCGACCTCAACGGTGACGCCAGTCAGGGTATTCCCGAAGGCTTTCTTCAGACAGCGAGCTGCTAGTGTAGCGGCTTCCTCTATTTTTAAATCAGCTTTGTATTGATCCGCCAGGAAAGTGTTGCATTCATTTGCGTTGACGCCCTGTGCAACGGCCTGCAGGGGTACGCAGATGCCCGAGGGCTTCAACTGATAGAGATAGTAATCCTTTTGGCGCGAGCCGCAGATCAACATAGACGCACCAAAAGGGCGGGCGCCCCCGGGCTGGATGTGCTCCAGCATGAAGGTGCCAACGCCATTCACCAGCTGCGGCACTCTAATCGGCTCCTTGTGAGCGCAACGATAGTCACCTTTTCACGAGGAGGCGATAGTCGGGACACAGTCCGGAAAACGCGGCACCAATATGCTTGTCAATCGCAGTCACAAAGTGCGGAATGTGGGCCCCATAGAATGCCCCTAGCCTGTTTCCTGTGGCAACCACGACGCCATTAGAAGCCTAGAGTCCAACGGAGGGATTGCCGTTGGCCACCGCCTCAAATGCGCACTTCAGTTGGGACACAGCTTCCAAAGGGGGTGGAAAGGTAAAGCCTCCAGACGACATCCTGTTCGTTGCTATTCCAGGTACGATTATATGTTATCTTGCCTCTTGCAATAGTGACACGAGTTACGTTGCAAAATTGTTTGTTCCTAATATACATTCGTTTCGCATAACGAAGAGCCCCAAAACACTTGTTGGATTATGCTGCCCAACTTATTCAAAAATCCAAGTTTATACCTTCCGGATTAACTGGTAACACATAACATTGTTCATTGGAAAACAGCAACGGGTCGACCTACTCTATTTGGTACCAAAAATACGATCAGAACATGGTCCTCAATCTACACGAATATTAAGCACAACATGCTCACTCGCACAATTTCGTACTGGACATTCCTTGCTCCTTACTTCTACTCACACGTTCTTCACTCTTTGGTATTTGGTTATCAGACTTCTGTCGCACATTGCTAACATTTCTCTCAGTGTCTGCATTGCCCAAGAGACGCCCAGACTCCCTCTAAAGACTAATTCAAGGTGGCCCAACTTGGCAGACTGGGACCTCGTCATTTAGCTTGTTTCGCCCCCGTCCTCGTCGTCGTCCTTGGATCCGGATATATGCATTGGCGGCACGTTAATTATGGCTCCAAAAATGGCCAAATTGTGCATGTTAAATACAAAATACTTACCAGACTGAGATAAGGCGCTACGAGGGGTACGCGACGGAACACTTGGGATGATTCTGCAGCAAATGACAGAGAAAACGAGACAGAAAGAGAGCGAAAGAGTGGGTCAGGCAGGGGCTTGTGGGGGCTTGTGGGGGCTTGTGGGGGGTAGTAAAAAAGTAGAAACAAATTGAAAAGTTTTCCACGATATAAATTTGCATTAATTTTCGGACGCTCTTTGGCTGCCTTGGCCTAGCCCTAACTGAACCTCGTCGGGGGGCTCTCCAAAAGAAAGAAAGAACATTCTATATGCATATACATAGTATGTACATATGTCTATATCTATACATATGTACACATGTATATGAATAAAAGCACAACGTTGCAACGAATGTAGTCGACCAACTTTATATCGTAGTCCTACGATATGAAATCGACAATGAATTGTAATAAAAATAGTTCAAGAATATGAAAAAAAGATATTGTATGTGAACATGTATCGGAAAATTAAGACAAAAAGATAAAGCTGTTAAGACTGATGAACTGCAGAACAAAGGATGCTAGAGAAAACCAAAGAACAGAAGTTTGTGAGCTATTGTGAATTGGATGAGATGGATAGCATAACCTGCTCATCAGTTTTTTGTATACGAATTGTATCCTATCCCAGAAAACTCTTGGAAACCGGTGCGAATCGCATGAGATTCAAGGCATCCGCGACAGTAAAAAAATCAAAGATTAATTAAATTAAAGAGTCAACAGTGGAGATACGAAGGAGGGCTGCGAGTAAGAGCCATTCAAATCTATTTATGTTCAATATTTCTCCTGTAATAATGTTTGTACATTTGTAAATATTTTACTGCGAACTGAAAATACCCAACTTTTGGAAACTTCTATACAAATTTAAATGCTTATACAATTGTTCAATTGGCCACAAGTAGCCCTGGAGCTGCCTACCCTTGCTACCCTGCGAAAACAGCGAGAATAAAAATTGCTTAAATCGAAAAAGTTTTCCTCTTTTTCGGGTGCCGCTTTTTCGCTCCTGCTGTTGTTGTTTATTCGCATACCCTATGTGAGGGAAAATCTGATGGCAACCATTCTCGAGGTTTGTATTCTCCCCAAGGTTTTTAGATCCACAGATCCATTTGTTGGTCGGAGCTTACAAGATTGCAGAAAAAGTATCCTTAAAAAAATCTTAAAATAAGAAATGTTTGTGTTCTGTTTCATTCACGTATCCACTAGTTTTTTGTTCACTTTTTAGAACTGTCCCCTGCCAATGAATGATTGGAAATTTCGCAATAAAATGTCTGATGTTTTCCAAAAGGCTAAAATTGTCGGAAATGTAAGAAATGTAAGAATTTAAGGAGCATTCCGAAATCCCATTTCCCAGTAAGTGTATTCCAGCTTCGTGGGGCCCTGCTTTCAACTTGAATTTCTTATTTGTTGTCCACTCGCGCGGACAGAGAAAGGGACAGAGCAGAAGAGTAGCTTCCAGGACTTCTCTCCATGGGCAAGAGAGGAACGAACAGCAGTTAGCCGGGGAGGGGGCAAAAAAGATTGGTAACAACACCTACAAAACACAAAGGCGATAACGAAGCTGGAGCTGAAACTCTGAAGCTGACCGTTGAATGAGGAATCCGCGCTCCTTGCAAAACTCACACAAAAAAACAAAAAATTACTCAAAAAATATACAAAAAACAGGGGCAGCTGTTGTCATCCCCCACCCCATACCCCCCTCTTAGGAAACTGTTTTTGTTGTTGCTGTTTTGTTACCTTTTTGAATATTTATGAAAAATTGAAACGTTTTAGCGCGCGGCCTGGCACCTTTGCTGGATTTGCTTTTTGGGTATTTCTCATTGCCTCTCTTTCCGTCTTCCCATCTTCCCATCATCCCCTCATCCTCTCTTCTCTTCCCACTTTCTCGCCCCCTCGTTGTCTGCCTCGTTTGCAATGCTTGTTCCTTTTCTCGCTTGTTAACTAATTGTATTTTTTTTGTATATTTTTTTAGTGGGTATTTTTGTGGGGCCCACGCACAAAAATGATTTAAGTACGCTTTCATTAATTACGTTTGAGATGGGTGGAAATTGGGGGAAAAACTGGGGTTAGCTTCGCTCGAAGGAGCATCCCCCAATGTATGCGAGACTGTTGAAACTTTAATAGACCGAATTTCAGGATAATTAACACGCTAAGCGTATGAATGATGCATGAAGGAGGCGGCACATCCGCGGCTCTCACCCAGATATCAGACCCTTTCGCCTCGACTTGGCTAATAATTGCCAGCGCTTAAATTTAAACAAAGATTGAGTTAGTCCTAACCCCCATCATCATCACAATCATCGTCGGACCTCTCATAAAATGTCCTTACAGGTTCCTTGAATGTCAAAAAGTGTTGAGGAGTCCCGAAGAGGAAAGACTTCAAGTACTTTTTTCTTCATTTTCAGAATTTTGCTTCGGTTCTGTATCTGTAGTTTTGGTATATGACTGTATACAAATTACGGAACGACAAAATGCTTTCTGCACTAACTTTTTTACCTTCATATCGGATTTCGTACGATATACTGCATTATTCGAGCTTTGAGATTGGGTCTAGTGTAATATGTCACTATTTTAATTATAACACTGGCACGTCTGTGCCGTTTGACTTCGGTTTTTAGAATATTTTTATTGAATTTATTCTTATAACTTATAAATTACACCGACAGCGGAGCGGTTTCATACATATTTGTCTTATCAGCATAATCGAGAGGGCAAGAGCCGTATGTACAATTAGAGTGAGGCCTGTAAAGCCAAACAAGCACTAGAAAGGAAAAATTGTAAAAAAAAAAAAAAAAAAAATATATATATACATAAATTAATTTCAAAAATTAACAAAAAATTTATACAGCAGTATAAAAGAAAAAAAATACATTTTTTTTGCATTAAATTATATACATATGTATGTCACAAACAAACAAAATAAGTAAATTTGAAGAAATATTTGAAAATTTTTGACAAAATGGGCTTAGTAGATGTAAAATCGGTAGATTCGACAGCGAATGTAATAAACAAAGTCGAAGTCAATAACACCGACCTAAAGTTAATAACAATATTTGTTGCTATTATTTTCATAATAATCATAGGAAATCTATTATATAAATTGTATAAACTACACAATAGATGCATAAAGAAACGCTATCAAAGCCGGGCCGGTCCAGGTCATCTGGACAAAATTTAAAACAAATTTATAATAGTAACAAAAATTGTTTGAAAATAAAAGAAAAAGTCCAGAAGAATACACGAATAAAAATATATAATTATTTGATTGAAAATCTATAGATGTTTTTGCACATTTTAATAATTTATTTTAAAATGAAATGGAATGGCAAAATATTAATGCCGCAAATAAAAGAAAATTTTGATAAATCACACAAGTGTCTAGCACAAAATAGGAATATTTCAAACGAAACTATAAGTAGACACGCGACAATATTAGTTGCATGTTTTAACCAAGCTCGTTCCCTGATACAAACGACAATAAAGAAAAGTTAAATACTCAGCATTGGTCGTATGTATCAAGATTTTTGCATAGATTAAAAACAAATTGAAATAGCATTAAATTAAAATATTCACTAGACGTAACTATTCGATTTTGAATACTCCAGTATTAGTCGAGGAAGAAACAAACACAGATTTAGAGAGCGAATCTGAAATCGCAAGCGGTTCAGATACACATACATATAAAAGAAGAAGACCTAGGCGACCTTACGATACCAGCGGTAATCACACTAGCCGATCTATTTGAGTCTGAACCAGAGTCTATTACTGAAGTAAAAACTCTAAATATTTAAATATGTAAATATTTTATTGCAGTGTAGGTGGTTGTGTGCATTGGCTCTTGCTTTTTCTTTTCTGCTAGCAACAATTTGATGTGATCGAGCTCTGTGTGTAATTTCACAGATGTGCTCCACGGCTAATTCTCGTTGCTATTTAGCAGTTTGAGCAGTTTGGCCTTTCTGGCTCTCAGGTGTTTTACTGCGCCGCCTCTTCTGCCACACATACCACTCTACTTACTGCGTTCAGTTTCGCTCCATTTCGTTGAAATGTTTTTGATGTTACTGCGGCTGCTGTTGGTAATTCTCCTGTTGGTCGGACTGCTGCTGCTTCTAGTGGTGCCTGCTGTGGTGCTGCTGTTGTTGTCCGCTCTCGTGCCGGCTCATTGTATTTTTTTAATTTTTTTTGTTTCCGAACATAGCCATGTTCGTGACACTTGTCACGGTCGCCATGTAATATGTCACTACTGTAATTATAACACTGGCACGTCTGTGCCGTCTGACTTCGGCTTTTAGAATATCTTTATTGAATTTATTCTTATAACTCAGACCGCATAGCTGCGCTGCCGGTTACACCAACAGCGGAGCCGCGTCATACATTTTTGCCTTATCAGCATAATCGAGAGGGCAAGAGCCGTATGTACATATGTATGTGTGTATATATATATATGCTTCAAGTGGTCAGCGTGGGAATGCTGACTTAGCTTAGCGCATAAGAGGCAATCATATTGCACGCTCACTTGAAATGGTTTTGTTTGTGTACTGCAACAATGTGTTGCTGATATATTTATGGTTAACCGTTGGGTACAGTGTACCCTCAATATATGCACATACTACACTAGTATTTAAGAGCATATGGTACATATATAAACGGTAGAGCACTTTAAGGTAAAATAATATTCAAAGAACATATTGCATGTTATTATTTATACAAATTAAATAAGAGTAAAATCAGAAGAAAGATGGAGTATGTGCTCTATAGATTATATTATAGATCACTTTACAAATGGCCAACTTTATGTTGCGTTTAAGCCGTGGTATATGCCTTTGTATACCCTATTTCGTTAATTTAATATGAAGATACTGTTTTACAACGCAATTAATTAATAAATTTTCTTCAATTGATATGTTTTAGACGTATTCATGCATTTGATTGTAGTCCTCTATATCCTGATGCCGATGCTCATTCTTGGCTTCTGTAAAAAGACCACTAATTGCAAAATATCGTTGAAATTCCTTTAAATCAGAGACTGACTAATTTCTGCATTCATTAGAGCCTGGGAGGACAAACATTTCCGCAATTCTTTAAAATCCATTTCCCAAGGGTATACAGAATGTTTTCTCGACACATGAGTACAAGACATGACGCATACAAATTTAAAGCTGCCGCAACTTTTGTGTATGAAATGACGCTCATGCTACCGAATACCGCTCATTACCGATTGGCGCGCGCCAAATAGAAATTGTTTGAAAGTGAATGAGCGACAAGGATTTAAATGCAATCTATTGGACCTGCGTATGGAAGTTTCTACATATATCCTTTGTTCTTAAATATTGCCCAATTTCGTCCTTAAAAAATACCGAAATGTACTAATAATACCGTAAAAGGACTATCGATAAAATAATATAATAATAATAATTACTCTTGTAGGTCTACCCCCATCCTTTATCTTTGCTTAACAAAAAGGCCACGATATCTCTCACCTAAACTGCGCTAAAATTCGCTTAATTTCATTATTTTCGTGTATCTTAATTATCTTAATACCCACTGGTCTACAATGGGCTAATCGTTGTCTGTCCATGATCGGAATTCAAAACAGCTGCGTATGGAAATTCCTAGGCACTATTTTCTCAGGGCTGGTCACACCGACCAATTGAGTAGAGCTGCAAAACCATCCATGATCTAAGAAACCATCGATCTATCGCACAATTCCAAAACCATCGATAGTGTCATCGATGGTTTTGCAGCCCTACAAAATCCAGATGACCGCTGATTAAATGATAACAAAATAACAGAATCGCCTAATTGACGATTAATGGAAGCAATGGGGGACCAACTAATACTGGCCACCGGTGGATACGATCACACAATCAAGGTTTGGCAAGCCCATACCGGCAACTGCATCAAGACAATGCGCTTTGTGGAGACTTCAGTGAGTGAACCACAACGCACATACATCTGCACTGCGAATGCAATTCAATATTTAATTTGTAGCAAGTAAATGCCTTGGACCGTACGCCAGACAAAACGCGCCTAGCGGCCTGTGGCTATCAGTGCATCCGTCTGTACGACTTGGAATCGAACTGCACCGCTCCGGTGATAAACTTTGATGGAGTTCAGAAGAACGTGACACGCCTTGGCTTCCAGGAAGACGGTAACTGGATGTTCACCGCCGGCGAGGACCATCATGTGCGCATTTGGGACATGATCTCGGCCCCGCCCCACTGCTCGCGGGTGTTCGACTGCGAGTCCCCAGTGAATGCCGCCTGTTTGCACCCCAACCAGGTGGAGATCGGCATGGGCTCCCAGAACGGCAACGTCTTCCTGTGGGATGTCAAGTCAGAAAAGCACGAATGCATCGTGCCCGAGGTGGATGCCTCAATCCAGGACGTGGCCATCTCGCCCGACGGACACTATCTAGCGGCGGCCAACAACAAGGGCAACTGCTACATCTGGTCGCTGTGCAGCAGCCCCGACCAAAAGATGAGCACTATGCGGCCCACAAAGAAGATCCAGGCACATACCCGGTACATCTTGCGCTGCAAGTTTAGCCCTGACTCGCGCCTACTGCTGACCACCTCCGGCGATGGGACGGCGTGCCTCTGGAAGACCTCAGACTTCAGCAAGTGGCGCGAGCTTTGCATTGAGAACTACTGGGTGTGGGATGCCGCCTTCAGTGCAGACTCAAAGTGGCTCTTCACCGCCTCCTCAGACGGAGTGGCTCGTCTGTGGAAGCTGGAAACAAAGACTCCCACGCGGGAATACACCGGCCATACTAAGGCCATCACTGCCCTGTCCTTCAAGGATGAGATTATAAGAAAGGTTAATCATTAGCTGATAACATCATTAATCTAGATCGTAAGCTTTCTGTGACTGTGTCACAGTTATGAAGCCTTCCGTTTTGATTGTCTCCCCGCGAAGAACAATGTACATCTCTGTTGTGGTCCTGTTTGGGAATATTGGTACTCTCTCCTTAAATATTCATACAGTTTATTGCATTTAGTATATGGTTAACGATAATCTGGAGGATCTTTATCCAGTCTTTCTTTGGTGTTCAGGTCCTCTTGCTCAATCTGGGGTTTAGTTTTTAAGACACAAAATATTTCCAAAGTTCTTTGAAACCTTTTTTCGGTGCTTTTTAAGACGGAATTTGAATTTATTTGTGGATTCACCCACCAATTATACAGACTATACTCAACCTCAAACCGAAACCAAAACCCGAATCCGAATTCCCAGTGAGATCCCAACGAGAGACAATCGGCAATGGGCAGGCATTGAAAGGCAACTCTTAGGCTCTGGCAAATAATTTGGCAATTTTTGGAGGCAGTTAACGTAGATAAGAACACAGCGATTCCATCATCAACCAGAACTGAAACATCATCCAATCGAATCTGAGGGGGGGGGACCTCCCGATCGCCCCCTCCTCCCTCAATCAGCAAGAGAACAGCAATTCAATTCAACGACAGAGGACCGGACAGTTCAGAAAACAAAAACAACAGAAATTGAGAAAAAATAACTAATTGTTAAACTACCTCTGAAAATGAGCGCTTGGCTTTTGTAGCGACTTTTTCATAATTTATAAATAAACCTTTGATATACATATATCATTATTGTATTGAATTACGACTAAACTAAATCGTTTATGCGAAATGTAATTTTGAATAAAACCCTAATAAATATACAAATACAAATACAAATACAAATAGAAACCGAAAATAATATTAACGGAGGGGGAGGGGAGGAGTTCGCCCACAAAAAGAGCCGCAGGGAAAGCAATAGCCTTGCGGGGAATTGACTTTTTGTTATGATGTCGTTTTTGTTTTGTATTGTGATGGTTTTTTTATGGGCGGGTGTTTTAAGTTTTTTTTTCCCAAGTTTAGTCCACGTAGGCAATGCCTTGGGCCACAATTGACTCTTTGATGGGATCGGGATCGTCGCCCAGCTTGTAGCCCACGATGCAGGTCACGTCCACGGCCTTGCCGGTGGGATTGAGCAGCAGCATCACCTGATTGATGGGCGTGGCTGGACGAAAGGGCTTGTGTGGTGGCATCGCGCTTTCCGTGGGCGGCAGCAGACGCACCTTGCATGGCTGGAAATGAAGGAAAGCAACAAGTGAATGTGGAATCAGACGGGTTTACTATTGAGATCATGCTCATGCCCACCTTTTTGACACTCGCCTCGAAGTGGAAGTCCCGGACTGGCTGACGGCTCTTGTTCTGGGCCGATATCACAATCACCGAGACACGATGGCCTGGACGATCGCTGGTAAAGTTTAAGCTGAGCAGCATGTCATCATCGTCGAGCACCACGCGCTGCTCCCCGGTGGCCTGGATATTGTCTAGTTCGATGCTGATCTCGCTGAGATGTTTTTGCGTGGGCGGCTGTGGTTCGACCTGCGGCTCCTGCTCATCGTTAACGGGAGCATTGCTTAGCAAAGGGACATCATCGACAGGCTCTGCTGCTGCTGTAGGCACCTCTGGCGCTGGTACTGGCTGTGCTGGCGTCTGTGTCTGTGCCATCTTGGGTGGCTTCACCTGCATCCTCTCTTTGGCCATGTCGTTGAGGGTTACCTTTTCTGGATCCCGCTTGAAGCTGCTCATCCTCTCCTGGCTGGGCAATATCTTCTGGAATAGCTCCTCGCTCAGCATATCAATCTGAGGCATTTTCCTGGCCGACCCGGGTTTTCGCGAGGAGTCGGAACTGGAGCTGCCATTGGCCAGGCCATCGCTGGCCGTGCTCGGACTAAGCACCTCAGGCTCCAGCATGCCGCCGCCGCCACCTGAGCTGGCATGTTGGAATGATTTATCAGTCGATTGTTTGGACTCGCTTTCGGCCAGTGCGCTACTGAAGATGTCACTCAGATCAGCCAGAGGATCGATTGAAGCAGGAGCCGTGAAAGTGCTTGATTTTGCAACGTCTCCAAGTCCAGATGAAGCTTCTGGTTCTGCTCCTGCTCCGTTTTCACTGCTTCCAATGAGGAGATCGCCCAGCAGTTCGTTGATTAGCAAATCGTTATTGGAACTTTTGTCTTTTGCTGTTGCTGTTGCTGTGGATGTGGATGCTGTCGTGGTCAGGCCAGGTGCAGGTGAAGATGTCTTTGTTGGCGAGGGAACCAGCTGCTTATAGCGTTGCATTGTGGCCAGGAGGGCCCCATTGGCATCCAATGTGTCAGCTGCAGAGAGAGACAGATTGAGAGACAGATCTACCAAGACTGCAGCAGAACTTACCTATGAGCTGGGCATCGGATTCATCCAACAGTTGCGTCATATGCTGGAAGATCGGCTTGTGCTTCTTGCAGATATTGTAGAGGTCTTTTATTGTCTCGCTGACATCCTTGTTGGAGGGATCATAGGTGTCCAGCATTTGGTTGAGCAGCTGCATGGTCTCCTGGACCTCGTTGAGCCCAAGACGATGCTGGGACAGAAGTTCGTTTCGTCGCGCCTCCTGTGCCATGCGATACTGCAGCAGAAGATTGGCCCGCTTGAAGTTTTCTGGATTGTTGCTCTTGACCAGCTGGGCGAACCGGGCCTCGTCGATGGTTCCCAGAACGCTCTCCCGATTGGCCAACGCCGCCTCTGTCTGGCCATGCTCGATGTCGCCCTCCTTACGCAGCATGTCGTAGGCATCGCGTATTTTCTGACGCTGCGGAAACTCTGTGGTCCACAGCAGAAGGCACTCCATAATCCGCTGCTTCACCTCGTGCGGCGTTTCGGCTCCCTTGTACTTTTTTGACACCAGCCGAATCAGTTCATTGAGGAAGCGAAACTTTCCGGCCTCGTCCTGGAACTCTTCGCCGCACTGAGTCATGCATTCCTCCAGCAGCTGGAAATATTTTGTACATACATATCTGTTACTTTGGCCAAAAATCTTGTTTGGGTGCCTGTGCCTGAGCCTGGCCCTGGCCCTGTCCCTGTCTCGCCCTGGCAATACATTTTTATAGCATATACATCTGCACATAATTTGATAACATATTTGAGCCGAACGCAGCCACACAAGTGCGTTCGTACACATGCATGTATGTATGTGTTTGCCAACTTTATGGGCCCCACTGTATGACTGAATGGCTGTGTACGTGTGTGTGTGTTTGTGTGTGGGGGCTTTTGTCTAGGCAATTTTTCACACAGTCACAGCCACAGCCCCGTTAACCACCCACCCCACTCACCGAAATGGCTCGCGTTGCTTCGGTTACGTTTGCTGACCGCACTTTGGCCACAATCATCTCCTGAGCCTTGTGCACCAGCTGCACATGACTTTTTACCACAATGCAGAACATTTGAACGCCCAGCTCGTCGACCCTTTCCTTAGCCGGATTTGTTGCTCGGTCTGTTATTGGAGGAGGAGTGAAAGAGGCAGGAAGGAGTAGAGTTACATATATGTAGATTTTATATGTCGGCGAGCTATGTCAGGAGAGTGTGGGAGGTGAACAATTTCGCAATTTCATTTACCCAGCATTTCCTCCATAATGCTCTCGTCGGTTGTCATGTTGCCTCGCCGCTTGCAATGGAATACAGCTTATTAACTTTTGGAAATACAATATTTGCGGTGATTTCGAGCAACAAACATGTTGTTGTTGTTGTTGCCTATTAGTGATGACACTTTTGAGCATTCGAGAAAAGTCGCGGTAGTCACTGTGAATGACAAATAAATGTTTATTCAAAAATGGTACCTACACGGTGACTGGCAACTATCTAAATAACCAATATCGTTACAGAAAATTAATATCGATATATGTATTAAATATTGATAAATAAAAATAGCAAGTACAATGGAACAATCAAATTCGTGTTGCACTGTTACATAACAGAAAATCAAATTTTGTACTTAATAAAGCCAACAAAAATTTAATTAAGCAACAGAGGGCTAACTATCGCAAAATCCGCACACAAAACATGTATCGATATTCGCTATTTTAGGCAGCCCTGCATGTGAAATGCAACCATGTAGGCAATGGCGGAAATGATTTTCGCTGGCATTGCCCCACACTGCCGTAACATGTTCTTTTTCAGGCGTTTGCCTTTGCGCTGACATCGTATCTCGATTTCTTCTGTGAAAAAGTAAGAAATTTTGTTAAAAAAATATGTGTATAAACAGTAAATTATAACCAAAGGAACGCTAAACGTGATGGCTAACTGTGAACATAGAGGGTTTTGTGCATTATTTGTCGGTCGTATGAATAAAAATGCATTGTTCGAAAAATGAGGTTAAATACGGGCGGCTTTTTGTTTGTGTGTGTGTATATGTGTGCGTCACACGTGTTGGTTTCTTTCATCTTTTTTTTTGTATTTTTTTGTTTCCTGCACGTCCTAAACTAAAACTATAGCGATGATTTTGAAGTCGCTGTGGTATTCAATTGGACCAAAGTAACATCCATGGTTAACTATTCCTCTTAAGGATATCGCCTTGAAGATATTTACCTTAATAAAGTCACAAATCAACAACAACAACAACAGCAGAAGCAGCATCAAATGCGCGCGCGTGTGTGTGTGTGTGTGTGCATTCATTCTCAAGCAGAAACGGGCTAACATTTTGCTCTCTTTTTATGATCTTCCCACACTTGCAGCATGGCCGAAGTTGCTGAAAACGTGGTGGAAACCTTCGAGGAGCCGGCGGCACCTGTGGAAGCCGAGGCGGCCGAGACCATTCTGGAAACAAATGTGGTGTCCACCACTGAGCTGCCGGAGATCAAGCTCTTCGGACGCTGGTCGTGCGACGATGTGACTGTCAACGACATCTCGCTGCAGGACTACATCTCGGTCAAGGAGAAGTTCGCTCGCTACCTTCCCCACTCGGCTGGTCGCTATGCCGCCAAGCGTTTCCGCAAGGCCCAGTGCCCCATTGTGGAGCGCCTGACCTGCTCCCTGATGATGAAGGGCCGCAACAACGGCAAGAAGCTGATGGCCTGCCGCATCGTCAAGCACTCGTTCGAGATCATTCATCTGCTGACTGGCGAGAATCCTCTGCAGGTAATTTTTCGCCATAGCCATATCCAGATCCCCTTCCACCGTCTCATGCTAAACTGTGTTCAGCGACTCCCCACCTGGACATGGGTAGAATGAGTACGCAGAGTAACCCACAAGTTTTAATATCCTAGTGCTTGACGATACATATCCCCTCATCTTGCTCTCTTGGAACTTAAAACTACACCTGCAACAAATTCGGATATGCCTCCAGTCCTCCTCAATGCTGGACAGTCGTAGCCCAGACTGTCCGAAGCATAAATATATTTAATGGACTTATATTAAATCAGAGTTTTAATATCCTAGTGCCTGAAGATTAGCCCCTCTTCCTGCTCTCTTGGAACTTAAAACTACACTTGTCTGAACTTGGGAGAGCCACATTCAGTCCACCTCAATGCCAGCTGAAAGGAAAACCCCTTCCCAGCTGCGCATCCAATAAAAATGGACTCAAAGGAAACGGTTTTAATATCCTAGTGCTTGAAGATACATATCCCCTCTTCCCGCTCTCTTGGAACTTAAGACAACATTTGTAAGCCCCACCAAAAGATCCACGAGAGGGTTATCCTCCTCCTCCGTCCTAAACTAAAACTGCAGCGATGATTCCACACGTCGTTGAGGTATTCAATAGGACCAAACCAAAGCCCATGATTTGCTATTCCTCTTAAGGGCATTGGCTTGAATATGCGAACCTTAATAAAGTTTAAAATCAACATCCACCCACCACTCCATCATGTAGAACGTTTTGTCAGTCCACCTCAATGCCAGCTGAAAGGAAAACCCCTTCCCAGCTGCGCATCCACTAAAAATGGACTCAAAGGAAACGGTTTTAATATCCTAGTGCTTGAAGATACATATCCCCTCTTCCCGCTCTCTTGGAACTTAAGACAACATTTGTAAGCCCCACCAAAAGATCCACGAGAGGGTTATCCTCCTCCTCCGTCCTAAACTAAAACTGCAGCGATGATTCCACACGTCGTTGTGGTATTCAATAGGACCAAACCAAAGCCCATGATTTGCTATTCCTCTTAAGGGCATTGGCTTGAATATGCGAACCTTAATAAAGTTTAAAATCAACAATCATACATATAGAACCTTTTGTCAGTCCACCTCAATGCCAGCTGAAGGAAAGCCCCTTCCCAGCTGAGCATCCAATAAAAATGGACTAATATTGAAGGAAAATGTTTTAATATCCTAGTGCCTGAAGATAGACCCTCTTCCCGCTCTCTTGGAACTTAAAACAACATTTCCCCAACTATTTTAAATAGCGTCGTCTCGTCGCTGGTTGGAAGACCGTTTTATTAACTCTGATTTTGCTGTTGTTCCCTTTGCAGATCTTGGTGAGCGCCATCATCAACTCGGGACCACGTGAGGACTCTACCCGTATTGGACGTGCCGGTACCGTGCGTCGCCAGGCTGTGGATGTGTCGCCCCTGCGTCGCGTCAACCAGGCAAGTGGCTACTCAATTGGGTCCCGGCCCTCCTCCGTCATGCAGCCAGCAGCAATGGCTTGTGGTTCGATTGGCGACTGCTTGCTTATAATGTTTGGCCAGAACATTCTTCTATCTTATCCGTAGCGTCACAATGTGTAATATAATCCGACATTTGGCGTATGACCTGAAGAGACATCTTACATTCCACATACTCCACTCCGTAGATTTGTTGTACGCCCAAAGCTAACTGAAAATGTTCTCCTTCTCTCTTTTCTATAGGCCATCTGGCTGCTGTGCACTGGAGCTCGTGAGGCTGCCTTCAGGAACATCAAGACCATCGCCGAGTGCCTGGCCGATGAGCTGATCAACGCCGCCAAGGTATGCACCACCCGACACCCGGAGATCTCGATAAATGTATATAGGGACTTGTAGAGGTCTACTCTAATGCCAGGCATTGTAACGCCAAAATGCCTGGCCTCGCTTGTAGACCAGAATATTCCACACTGCGAATAAACCCAGGAGATTGGCCATGCCCATGGCTTCTGTCCTTATTCAAGTGTTACACTCTCACCTCAATTGAGATATCTTCTGGATAGGTCCAATCTAATTCTGCATCATGGTTTATTTATGTAGTCTCGCTTTTGGACAAAACTAACCCACAGATCTTTTATTATCCTTGTGCTTGTGGCATTATCCCCTGTCCAATGCACACGAGAAACGTAGAAGAACAGATATATTTGTAAATATGAATAGGAAGATGTATTGCCATGAATATATGGAGTATATTCGGTCCAATCTAATTCTGCATCATGGTTTATTTATGTAGTCTCGCTTTTGGACAAAACTAACCCACAAATCTTTTATTATCCTTGTGCTTGTGGCATTATCCCCTGTCCAATGCACACGAGAAACGTAGAAGAACAGATATATTTGTAAATATGAATAGGAAGATGTATTGCCATGAATATATGGAGTATATTCGGTCCAATCTAATTCTGCATCATGGTTTATTTATGTAGACTCGCTTTTGGACAAAACTAACCCACAAATCTTTTATTATCCTTGTGCTTGTGGCACTATCCCCTGTCCAATGCACACGAGAAACGTAGAAGAACATTAAATAAGCATCAGAATAGAGTATATTTTTTCACCTTATATCTGATGATCATATTGGAACCCATTGTAACCGCTTCTGGGTCTGTTTGCTCTTTCCAGGGTTCTTCCAACTCGTACGCCATCAAGAAGAAGGATGAGCTGGAGCGTGTCGCCAAGTCCAACCGTTAAGGAGAGACAGCAACCAACAACCACACAAAAAACATGCTTCTGTGTCTGTTTTTTTTTTATACAAAATAACGCGTGTAATGCTACACTAAATTTACAACAAGAAAATAAACATGAAAAGATCCAACCAATAAACAGTGTAAAAAACTAATTTAGTATCCTATCATCCTTTTTTTTTAATAGTATTTAGTGCTGAATAAATGTTAAATATGTTCGCACATTGTGAATGTCTGCGTCATAGAACAAAAGGATATTTCGCTTGTCCCCACTGACTGGAATTTTGACAATGGATGAATCAATTATAACTAGATGGAAACGATTTCTGTTCTTAGGCCGAAGAATATAACATACATGCATACATACATATTGGCCATGTCAGTGTGTGTAATGTGCTGTTTTAGAAGAGTTGCATGTCCAGAGCGCCATTATTGATATATCGACAGTTTTTATATCGGTAGTCGTACATCGTAAGCAACATTTTTGTTAGATATTTGATATTTTACTGAATTAATCATTCGATGTATCGAATCTACCATCGATATAGTTGGACACTCACCGCTAACATTTCGCGCACTTGTTATCCCGCTAAAATTGCACCGTCTTTCAAAAGAGTCTTCAAATTCGCCACACATTGGCTGTTGCGTCGTTTTGTGCTGTGAAAATAAGCTGCACCTATTAGAATTGCAGTTGCAAGCGAGTAGTCGTGTTGCACAGTAAAATGTTCAATGTGAATCCCATTTTCGCGGAGCCAGAAGCCAACGAGAATCTTTCGAACGTCGGAGACGACGACATTTTGCGCCAACGCTTTAGTCAGTGAGTATGCAACAAATGTCGATGAATTATGAGAATACCATTGTCTTGAACTAACACTCAAATTGCACATCAATGTTATTTGACACTTCAATGTTTTATATGGCCGCACGCTGCTTAGGTTCCAAGAGCAAAAGTTAGTGGAAAAATTCTGCCGCGAGACACATTTGCTGAAAATAGTCGAAGGGACCGTTGCATCATTCATCGAGGACTACAGACGCATACGCACACCCGAAAAACTGCTGACGCCATTGCTGCTGCGCCTCGACTTTATCTACGCTGATCTGTTGACGCATGCTCCATCGCTGTTGCCGCTCATAGTCGAAGAGCCCCTGCAGTTTGGCCTAGCCGTCAAGTATTCGGTGTACGGCCTAGTGCGGGACCAATTGAAGGTAGCCGGCCTCAAGCCAATCGACATTGGCCAGTTGCACGCACAGTGGCGCGTCGTGGGGCTGCCCTACAGTCCCAATTTGCTGTTCGATCCGGCCGCGAATTCGCTACGCCTCGGCCTGTCCCTGGTCCAGGGCATCCTTTCGGCCTATACCCCAACTGAGACACTGGTGTAAGCGAAATCGGTGACAGTCGATACCCCCTCTTCCTCTCTCTCTCTCTATCTCTCTCTCTCTTTCTTTCCTAAGCGATATTCTCTTCTTTCTTCATCCGCGTGTAGCCTCCAATCGACTTGGTACTGCGGCAGCGGGTGCATGCGCAACGCACTGCAGACCAGCGCCACAGATGGTATGTGCATCTTATCGCTTAGCTGCACGACACACACCTGCCACAACCCACGCCTCTCATAGTAATATCAACGTACACCCCTCTCCTTTAGCGCCATTGTGCCCCAATTGCTCGCGGCCCATGAGTGAATACCAAAAATTGAGAGTAACAGAGACCTATCGCCTGCTAGCCATTCTGCCCAGCTCCTGCGTTCAGACGCCGCGCTCCGTTGACCGTATCCATCGCCCTACCATAGTGCGGCTTAGAGGTGAGTTCTCCGAGTAACCATTCCTTCTCTTAACACAACTGATACGATCCTATGCTTTGGTTTAGCCTATGCCTACACCTGCGACCTGAAGTTGGGAGCCAAATACCTAATCACTGGGCATTTTTCCGGATCTACGAATTACAGCTTTGAAGCATGTCATCTAAAAAGCGCCTAGGGGCACGCCGCCAGGGTACGGCTGCTGTCCCACTCAATGAATATTTCTGCAGCGACGAGGAGCCGCAAAATACCTCGAATCCGGTCGGTTCCGTTGGGTAAGTGTGTGATGCGCCTTTGACGATGAAAGGGTCTAGATTCCAACGAGTTTTCCCTTTACAGCACGATCACTGGATCAAACGGATTCAGTCACACCAGCAATGTTACCCCTATTCTAACCCCAACGTCTCACGACAACGATCAAAAGCCAACAAACTCTACACCTGTGGTTGCCACTCTGCCAGCATTCGACTGGGACTCTGACGATATCGAAGGTTCTCCAAATAAAGCCGAACAGGCAGCGTCGCTAACAGTGCAGACTGTTAAACACGCATCCGAACATCCGCTTGAAATTGTTGGAGCCAAGACGAGGGCTCTTCTGGCTAAAGAGGATGCATATTGGCACGATCCGGCGCTACCTTTAAAGCCCGACAAGCGCGAGTCGGTGGCCAAATGGCTAAGCTCGCTGCCCACAAAAATACAGAGCACACGGCAGCAGCTGGAGCAGCCTGAGGCTCTTGTTCAGGGCTGCGCTTTACTCGATCACTCGAATGATGCCGATGCCGATGCCTTTCAACTCTCTACTAGTGAACCCCAGGAAACAGCTCACAACAAGAATCATCGTGGTCTTGCCAGACAATTACGAAGCCAAGCCGAGCCCGAGGCCACATCCCAGCTAAGTGTGATGCCAGAGGAGCTGCCAACAACCACTGGCACTGCCATACACGATTGGGGAGTAGGACCACAGGCCCAGGAAGCAGTGGCCACTCAGCGTACCAGAATGAACTTCGTAAGTGATGTACTACAACCAATCTGAGGGACACATCTTATCATAAGCCTACCGATTTCAGACCCGCCGTCCCCGACGCAAGATAGGCGCCATTGCGGCCCAGGATTTGACTTATCTGAATACCAATCAGGGAGAGATGACGAAAATGGAAAATCCCATGCCGCAACCGTTCCCATACAACTATTATTGCAGTGTTCCAGCTCCGGCTCCAGCTACTTATTCGGCTCCTGGTCCGAATCCGATTATATTATCGGCTATTCCATCCTATGCTCCCGAAGCATTGACTTTAGATCCAGGGCTATTGCCCATAGAAGTGCTTTTGGTGCCTGAACGGATTGATATTCCAGAGAATGTTTTAACATCCCAGGTAGTCTATCGCCCACAGACAGGCGAAATATTGGCACGGGAAGATCGACTGGCGCAGCAGCACCCTGCGCCCATGGAGAACTGCCACCCGATGGTGAACCAGTCGGTTTTTCGGCTTGCCAGCCTCCCAATCACTGGGGTGGGAACGGGGACAGATCATGCTGTGGCTACTACTACACAGTTGGATGGTTGCGGACTGCCATCCTCTATATCAGGTCCCAGCCAGGAATTGCCATCCCTCAGTTCTTGGTACCACAAAGAATCGAACCCATCATATATATTCGCGTCCCAGGAGACAGAAGTGGCGTCTTTGTGCCAAAGTTCGGACATTTACCGTTGTCCCATCAGCTCTTTGTATCCAAACCAGGAACAAACTATTACTTCAATGCGCGACATGCTGCAGCAGGCTTTTATGGACAACAAACATGCTATGGACAACCTCAAAACGGACCACGATATTGGCCAGCATTCCAACCAAATCCTGGATACGGACAATGCCCAAACCCCCCTCAGCAATTCTACTCGTGCGCAGGGATGGGAGGAGGGATGGAACCTCAGTCAGGGGGATATGGCCAGGGATATAATGCACAGTCGGCCGCTCCTCAATATGGACTTGGAGGACAACAACCAACAGGCAATGGCTGGAATTGACATTGAAATTGACAAAGAAGACCCAGACACACATGGCACAGTTCACAGTGCACTCAAGTCTCTCCCAACTGCGGCTCCTCCAGGACAATCGAGTTCTTCGACTGTGGCTCGCCATCAGCTCTTTAGCCGTCGGCCAGCCAATGAAGCCCACCCAAAGCCGGACCTCAACTTTGCGCCGTCGAGCGTGAAAAAATTGTATCAACTGATCTGCTCGCAGTACTCGGACTATGCCTTTATCTATGCCCTGAGCGCCCAGCTTAGCCAGGAGTGCGTACCCATGGACTGTTACGTCTACTTGAAGATGGTCCTGCTGGCCAGCATTGCGTCCATCGAGCCGGACGAGTTGCGGTCCCCCATCTCGCTGTGCATCATTGCCACCGACGGCACCATGGCCAATCGTCTGATGTCCAGTGTGGGTCAGTTGGCGCCACGTTTCCTGGGCCCTCACGAGGGCGGTCTGCAGGCCACGCACTCGGCACTGCCCGTGCGCTACAATTGGGTGGTGGCCAGTCCCCTGCTGATGGCCCAACAGGGCGTTTACTATGTCGGTGATTGGACGCGTCTGTCCCGCGAGCATGGCGAACAGCTGGAGAAGGCTATCGAGAACGGAGCGGTGCCCGTGCCGCAGACCCAGGCCGAGCAGCCACTCGAGGCCGCCATTTGGACGCACTGGCAACCGGAGAATGCCACCAATCAGACAGTGGCCTTTGCCAAACTGTGCCCGTACGCTTCCAACCATAGAATCAATAATTCAATGATTGACGGCTCTTTCTTTTTAGTATCTTTGGCCTGCCCATTTACATGGGGGAGCAGGTGAGCGACAGCCTGTGGGGTTTTCTGCTCCAGCTGCACAGCGAGGACGGCCAGAAGACGGAGCAGGATGGACTGAACGTACCTGAAGAGGATTTGCGCATGCTTCTCGGCTTGCTGCACAAGCGGAAGGTGGTCTTTGGGGATGCGGCCCAATGCTTGCTGCAAAAATACTATGTGATCTCACGCAAGCAGCGACCAAGTGAGCGGATCTATCTATCCTCTTCTAATTGATGGAATACTACCATACCTAATATACCTGTCACCCTCTCTCTCTTGTTCTTTGCCACAGCTGTATTCTCTAGCAAGACGTATATTGTGCTGAAACAGTTCGCCGAGTCGTTTGCCAAGCTGGCGATGCGGTTGGAAGTCCTCGAAGCGGATGTGATCGTAGCCATTTTTCACTGCGAGCACTTTGTGCAGAAAATATTTGGTGCCCAAGAGATGCCCGCACCATCGGTGGAGACATTCAGTGTGATTTCCCACATTGATCCGTACATGGATGAGTTCACACGCTGGCTGTTGAACTACCTCGATCGATATGGCGAGGAACAGCTGGGCATTCAAGTCAAGCGCCGCAGTACCGGCAGCTGGGGCGAAATGGAATAACGCAACACTCAATTAACTATAAGTTTTCTATTTTTTGGTTGTTTTTTTTGGTTTTTTTTTGTAACTCGTAAGGCGCTCAAAGCAAACAAACAACTGCGGTGTGGTCTTACGCTTATTAACCAGTTGTGATTCATCACCATGTCGTTGGTGGCTCTAAGTGGTGCATTACCTTAATACCTTTAGAAAAGGTACGAGAAATGAAGCCAGGCAAAAGAAATGCCATGCCACTAACTGCCGTTTAACTTTCATACATCTATTATTCCAAATATTCAAACAAACCAAAAATGTCATCACCAAATAGGCCAAAATTCATATAACAATAAATGTTTGGACAATCCATTCATGTTTGGAGTTTACCTCAGTTTAGATCACAAAAATATTTTCCAAAAATATACGAACGAAAATTTGAAAATGAAGCCAGCTGCCAGGTTCGAAACCTCACCCAAAGCTCAGGCTTTGGTCCAGTTGGAGAACGGCCCGTTCTACAAGACTATCTATGACTTTTTGAACCAGCTATCGATGGCGTCGGACCTGGGCTCGCTCATCGGATGCATAGTGCTCTTCCTGATCATGTGGTATATTATAACTTGGTTGTTGCGGCTGGTGCTCTCGCTGTTCTGCGCGGCCCTCATTGTGGTCCTTGTCGTGGCCATTATTCGCTCTGAAGTCGCATCCAAAGATGTGGTAGTTATGCTATACCAGGTGACATTGGTGATTGCTAAAATGATTGGAGGCATCTTAGTCTATGCTTTGAGGAAATGTTCCAATTAATCCCGATTACAGCATTGCAATGTATGGAAAATATTTAATTAATTAATTAAATTGTGCAATATTGTGTTGTGGGGTAATGAATCTTTGTTGTCTTTGAATTGTACTACTCCCAAGGGTTCCGTTCTGTGGTCAGCCTTCCGCACTGGTTTGAGGGACTTTTTTGGCTATAAGTAAGTCCCAAGTTCCCCAGTGAAATTTCTAAATATATGGTCGAAGTGGAAAAAGCCGTGTAATAACAATAATAGTCCCACAATACATATCATCAAAGGGATTATTTATGGATAAATGGATCCACCAATACCTATAAGAAAAACTAAGGAAAGATGAAAGTATTCAGCGAAACAGGAGTTAGTTAAGAAGTAACTCATCAAGTTATAGTCAAGAATTTATTGATGTTTGCATATTAAGTAGAGGTACAATTTTGTTTTTTTTTTCTTTAATGGATATAATTCCTTGTGGAATACATACAAATTTATATATTTTTTGATTGACTTTTGAAGTTAGTTCATCGTTGCCCGTTTGCTATTTTTACTCCCTCTTTGGTTTGTAGATTTGTTATTGGTCCACGTGTTTCTGGCAGTTTTTCTTTCGAGAGGATATGTTTAGAGGTCACGTCCATGATATTTATCATTAAACGGCATATTGTAGGCAAGATGACGAAGACAAGCCCAGTGAAACACATATACGCGATTCGGATGTACTGGGCAACGGACAATGGAATACGGCAGCCCCAGCGGATATGGCTCCTGCTGCAGATACGGACCCTGCTCCGGCAACGGAGCCTGCTGCGGCAACAGAGCCTGCTGCGGCAACGGAGCCGGCTGCTGCGGCTGCTCCTGCTGCTGCTGCTGCTCCTGCGGCTGCTCCTGCTGCTGCTCCTGCTGCTGCTCCTGCGGCTGTGACTCTGCCTCCGCCATTATTCCTGTGGCGGCAGCAGCGCTGCTGGGCTGCATCTCGTAATCCAATGCGCTGACCTGCACTCCAGTAACTGGAGCGGCAGGCAGGGACACGGATTCATTCGAATCGTCGGGGCGGCTGCGCTTAACGCTCATCTCGTTATCCTTGTCATCGGCTGGATCATTCCCGTTGCTACGCTTTGAGCAGCTTGGCTCAGGCCCGTCATCAATATCCATGGATGCTGCTAGATTACTACGACCTGGAACGAAATAGACTCAGTATTTGGCCTCCAGATTTCGAAAGCGTAATTCTCGTGACCTTTTCGTGAAAATGGGAAGTTTTCTTCCTTTTGATTTGATTGATTTAATTATTAACTTTCGGATTATTTAATTAATAATTAATTTCAATTAAACCATGGAGCACACGTCCAAAAACGTCGAAGGAATGTGTATTTCTGACCGACAAGAGGTTAGGAGAACTTTTCAAGCTGACTGCGCACACACTTGTGAGCAGATGTGCAGATGTATGTATGTATGTGTGGTTTTGGCAATACTAGAACATTCTAGAACATTCTTGAACTTCATTTGCCATTCGCCATTTCCGCCATTTCCGGTCGATACGTTCGCATTGCAACCCTGCGCCATTTGCAGAGCTTACTGTCAAGTAGAAGCAAAACCGTGCAAGTTTCAAGCCAATCAATTAATCAGCAAGTACCCAAAGAATTTATCTAAACTATTTATCAGCTTTATTTTTCCATGAACATACATACAAGCAGCCTGTATGGGATGACAATTGACATTATCATCTCTACTTCCTGTCGATGCATGCTCCTGGCAACTCTGCTTTTCCTGGAACTTGCTGTCAAGTAGTAGAACATGAACAGTCTCGAACATTCTGTGCCAACGCATTAGACAGTCAGCATACGAAAAATTTGTAAAAATTGTTAAATTGAACAAACGATACATATATCGTCGTGAACAAAACCAGAGTACTTTTCGCGGCATACACTGCAAAAATACAAGTGCAAGCAAAGTCTAGGGGAAATATTCGGCTGAAAATAATACTTACCGCGGCAACTGAACTGTGCATACATATTTTTCGTGCAACATTCGTAAGGCGAGCCTGGTGAGCTTCAAATTGTGTTGTTCTGCGTCGGTCTGGTGACGGAGACGCCATCGCTGCTTCCGCTGATTGTCGCCGCGCCTGCGCCTGCGGCCTTCTCGCCTTCTAGCGGCCCGTGAGTCAGGCCTGAGTCAGGCCCTGCCTGCCTTACGTGCATCTGGACGGTTTGTTGTTTGTTCTTTTTTTGTTTGAACATTTTGTTGAACTACTTCCAGCCATGCCTCCTAAAAAGAATCCAGGCGCACGGCGCCGTGGTACGACTTTGTCACTGAACGATTTCTTGCGCGACGTTGACAATTCAAATCCGACAGATCCGACCCCTGACCCGAATCCGTGAGTGTGTTCTTCGATCCATTGCTTGGGCGTAGATTTAAATGAGTTTTTCTTGTACAGGCCGATGACGACTAATGAATCCAGTCGCTCTCGTAATCGTCAGCCACCCAATCGATCTGGCAAGAATGCCCGTCAAAATGGCGAAAAGCTCTCACCCTCTGCAGTTGGATCCAATGGCTCAAATCCAGTTAATCCGACCGATACCAAGCCGTGAGAGTGTCCTTAGATTCTTCTGTAGGCTGTAGATTTAATGAAGTTTTTCTTGTACAGGCCGATGGCGACTTATGGATCCAATCGCTCTCGTAATAGTGCTCATCAATATAACGATCAGACATCCAAAGCTGCAGTTGGATCCAATCGTTCTGGTAATAAATCCCGTCGAAATGGCGGCAGGTCGTTCGCCTCCAATCGTTCTGGTAATAAATCCCGTCGAAATGGCAACAGGCCATCCGCTTCTGCAGTTGGATCCAATCGTTCTCATCGGGAGTCAAATCCACCAAAACCGACAAATGCAAATCCGTGAGTGTGTCCTTAGATCCCCCCCTCAGGCTGTAGATTGAATGGTGTCTTTCATTTTCCAGTCAGTGCCATCAATTCGGCGGTCCAGCTGGGTCCAATTGTCCTGATAATAGAACCCTCCAAAATTACGAGAATCCATATAGCGCTGAACTTGGATACAATCAGCCATTCAGCCCTGGCGTAAAATACACCCGGCTGTTTGGTTATAAAATCGCTATAAATCCCGATCAGGAGCTATATTCACCAACACCAGAACCGACAGATACCGATCCGTGAGTGTGTCCTTAGATCCATCCCTTGGGCTGTAGATTTAAATTGGTTTTTCTTTTTTTTTAAAGGCCGATGGCGGCTAATGGAGCCAGTTTCCCCAGTACTAATACCCCTCAAAATGACGATCCTCCAGACACGTCTGCAGATGGAACCTCTTATATAAATTGTCATCAAAATGATGACGGGCCTGCAACTGCAGCGGCTGCCAATAGACAAGATTTGACTGGAGCAGCACCCTGCGTCTGGGTATCCCCTAATAGTCCACTATATCTTTATCAAGGAGGCGCTCTCATTGGCACTACAAGCATCGGGCAGTATTTTGGTCTGGAAGGCACTCCAGAAACGTGGAATCGGGCAGCACCGTTAGCCCTTCAAGCTTCCAGTGTAGACTCATCCCAGAATCTGGTGATGAGTCGGGCTGTTCTGGGTCCTGGTCTGGTGATGATGCATGCTTTTGTGGACCCATTGATCCAACCAACTGGCCGTACACGCAGAGGACAACGTACCCGGAAAAGGCGCGGCAGACGCGGGAAGAAGACCCTTGAAGACCCGCAGTCTGAATTTATGGTCGATTCGATCCACCGGCAACAGTCGTGTAGGGGGAATTTGCCGCCACAATGCTATTACGTCAAACAGCCGTACCAATCTGCATTAGAACAGCAATACATTCACGAGTCACTGTCATATAATGGACCCAATTGTGGAGTCCAGCCTCAGTCATATAATGGAACCAATTGTGGCGCCACTGGAATCGCAGGTCAGCAACAAATTACAACCATATATCACCGTGGGCGCCAGCAGATAACCAACACTCAGAATCGCAATGGTCGCATCCAACGGTACGGGAATCAAGGGCAGGTGGCCACGCCACCGAGTGTCCTGACCGGAAGGATCCATCCGATGGAACTACCTCTGCCACCAGATTTCTCTCGCTTTGATGCGACAAAGATCAGCGTAAGTGATGCATACCCCATTGGATTGTTTGTCGAGTTCCACTTCTTTTGCACTTCTGCATTCTACCATTAACAGATGCGACGCCGTTACCAGCGCTGTAGACGCAGAGCCAGGCGTTATGCGCCATCCGTGACCGTGGAAATCGAGAATGCATACCCGGCGCCGGAACCACCACTGGAAACTCTATGTTGCAACTGCCAATTTCCAGACCGAGACCCTATTTCGCAGACGACCACGGATACGGTTTCGTGCCCAAATCCGGCTAGCTTTCTGGCTGTTCCGTTTGATCAATACGATGGTGAAACGGGAAGGTTCAAGAAAATGACCGTGCAAATGCTTATACCACCTGGTCGGATCGATATTCCAGAGCACATATCAACATCGATGGTGATCTATAATCCGGAGTCGGGGACGATAGCCGCCCGTTTGGACTCGGAGCCGGTGCCGGCCGCATTGGAGAACAATAATTACAATGTGTCCCAGTCGGTTTTTCGGATGGCCAGCCTCCCGAGCACGGGGGTGGGAACGGATCGGGCTGGGGCTGGTTCAACTATTTGGGCAGGGTGCAGCCTACCATCATCCAGATGTGGCCACGAACGGGATTGGCGCTTCCTCAGTTCCTGGTGCCACACACCGATGGGAATTTCATTCCATACTGGCCAATTCCAGGCGAGACGACCTCCTTTCAGCCAGCACCCGGCTCGGAGTCTGCTACAGATCCAAATCAACGATATTACGCAAAACCCGGCACCGGATTCTACAATCCTCAGTCGTCAGAAGGGATTGATGAATACCCCATACCGATCTCTCCTACACGAGAACGAGAAGCTTCCGTTGACCCGAGGGTCATCTGCACCGATTTGGAATTCATTTGCAAGGTTCTCGAAATTACTCCAAGTCCAACGGCAGAAGCAGGAGATGGTTCTCCAAATTTCATTCCTGCGGTGCTCAATTCACAGCTCAATTCAAACGTTCCAGAATACATTCCACGGCGGTTTACCGCAGAATTCCAAGACCAGCCTCAAGCTGGTCACTATGGATCTGGAGGATACCAAAACGACCAATCAAGACCAGGTCAAGGTCATGGACAAGGACATATCCCTCGTCGACGTCAAAGAAGAACAAGGCGTTCTGCGCATCACAACTAAGTCATTCCCAATTTTGTCAACTGATGCTCAAGGACCATTGCCCACCGGCCCCACCTCGACAGTGCCAACATACACGCAAAACTCTTACTCTTACTCTCGCTTAATCGATTATCTCGGCATTGCGGCACCAGCGGACAGAAGCCTGATCTCACACGTAAGCGGATCCGTATATAACTGATTACAACTGATTAATTATCTTCCTACAGATGTCTACGCAGGAACATATTCGCGCTAATCAGTTCGACGTGTCATTTGCCAAGCTGGCCATGCGTCTGGAAGTATTTTAATATGATTTTAGTCTTTATAAAATAACAATCACAATCACTGTCACACTTCAAATTTATATCATATCATTCAATTTTTAAAATTGTATATGCACAGGCATATCTCTTGAGTTCACCCACGAATTGTTACACACGCTTACTAGCTCTAATATTATAATATTAATCAATAAAGAAAGGGCTTCGAACTCACTTGTCCATGCTTTTGAATACAAATTAAACCTTCATAATTAATGAAAATAGTCCAAATGATGCACCTTGACTATGTACAGAGAACGCTGTAAAAACATGGTCAAATCTGGGCCTTGGGAATGGCAATAGTGCAAATCTGAAAGGCCTTCCTATCTTCCTATCTATGGCATTAGAGAATACAAAACAATTCCGTTTATGTTTATCTAAAAAAAACAATTATTTTTATTTACTAAATACATATTTATAGTTATTTCTTATGCTGTATATATATATATATATTTATTAATGTTGTTTGTTTTTTGTGTGTTTTTGATTATCCTTTCCAGCTGCCTGAGCAAATCGTTCCAAGTTCTGTTTAGTCTTAGGCTTAGTCCTGGACAAACGGTTTGTCCCTCTCTCGATCCCTCCAATTATACAGTTATCAAAATATATATATATATATATGTATATATAGGTAAATTCACAATGAAACTTCAAGTGTAAAGGTGTCATATGGGGGGCTGTTCCATTTGGCTATTACATTTAAATACTCTCGTTATCGTAGTAGTTGTACAAAATGGATGTTAGCTAGTGTGATTTAAGTGTTTATCTGTTTGATTAGGCTACGAAATGGCTGTTTTATTAGCGTTGGGCTTTTTTCATATTTCATATTTCGTATTGTACACACATTTCGTCTTATAGAAAATATATCGAGTTCTTAGCTAGATTATGAAAAAATTAAAAGCCATACAAGTACATATAGTAAATAAAGTAAATACATCATATCATATACAGTACATATATGTATATTCCATATAAAAAATACATTCTTAACTTTGGTCCAGTACTGAAATCTCGGATTTCGTTAGTTCGCCAAAAGTAAAAGTTCTAATTTATTGCCTGTTCAAAGGATGTGTGTTGTTACAGGTCCTCCACCTCCCACCCCCTCCAAATAGGTTGATGTTTTGCTTTTGTTTTGGTCTTACAGAGCTACAGTTTTCTTGTGTGTGATGGGGTTGGGGTCCATCAGTTAGTTGAGCTTATGCTAGCTAGAGTAGAAATATTCGCCATCTAATAGCTGAGACAGCTGCTGTGGGCACTGGGCAAAGTTTAGTGGTTGAACTGGGTACTGGCTGCTTAGTAATCCAGATTGCCTTGGGCCCCCGTGATGATGGCGTCTATCCAAATGCGCGCCGCTGAATCGGAGGCTGCCTGAAGGTTGTAGCTCCGCTTCTTGGTCTTCACAATGAAGGTGCAATGTGGTCGGCCGCTCTTCGAGGCATTCAAATGATCCAGATACACCTCGTCGATGGTCTGCAAGGGGGATACGGATACGCGTTGGTTGGTAATCAAATTGAAGGTGCAATATACATATGCTGATGATCAACTCACTGCAAAGTAGGCTCCGCCTCGTGGCTTCCGCTCCGATTTGTCCGAGTAGTAGATCAGGGCACTGCGCTGCCTGTCGAGGACAAACCAACGCCTCGACCACGCGTGGAACGTGGCCCCCAGCTTGTGTAGATATCTAGAAACAAGAAAATAGTACACATGTCCTGTGGTGTGGCGTGGTGGCTTTACTCACCCGCGACAACTGTGCGCATCGACAAAAACATGCGGACAGAGATCGATCTGGTGGCCAGCGGTCTCAATGTGATGCCTCAGATTGAGGTCTGGCGAGAAGATGGGCAGGTAGCGGGTCAGGGGACGCTGGTGTTTCGGCAGGGCGCGCTTCCGTTCGCTGGCTGTGCTGCCACCGCTGCCGCTGTTCCCACTGCCACTGCCCGCCGATGCCGTGTCCTGGGAATTGCTGTTGCTGCTGGCCCTCTTGTTTTCGATGGCCGACAATTCCATGCCACCACCACTTCCGTTGGCAAACTTGGGCGTCTCGATTGTTGCGTCACAATTGTTGGCCTCCGACAGAGGACGCGGACTCCGAGCCATCATCTGGCCTGTGGATCCACTGCCACTTCCAATGCCCACCGCTATGGCATGATGCTCTAGCTCTGGCTGCGAGTGACGTTGCTGAAATGGGAATGTGAAATCAAGTTAGTGGATGGAATTATCTCTTATGCATGATTTATTTCCATATTCCTTCTCAGGACGAACAGGAGCTGCTGTTCGCTGCGGTTTCATAAACATACTAGCTACAATCGCACATATTTATCCGATTTAGGCGCGATGAGTGATGCATGACCTTGACACTCACTAGATAATACAGCTCCATGCGTTGTCGTGCGTTCGCATCCGTGCGACGATGCTGTACGTAGGTCATCCAGACGGACATGTTGCAGAAGCACTTGCTCCTCCACGGGAAATTGGATTCAAACTGCGCGAGTGCCGAATGGAGAGATCTCTGGCTGGTGGTGCCTCCGCCTATGGCCATTCAAATGAGGCGCGCACGAACATTGTCCAGCAGAAGCGGACAGACTGGCAGGCAGACAGGCAAGCAGACAGGCAGCCGAGCGGATTGAGATCGAGGTAATTATACTCGTAATGGAGCAAAGATTTGTGTGGCCATTGAACGAGGGATAACGATGGCTAACGATCCAACGTGCACGGACCAACGTGTAAACAAATATGGTGGAAACCAAGGTAAAGGGTAATACGTAAACAACCCAAAAACAAAACAGCAAAACAACAAAAATGCGTAACAGAGTTCGGGCCAGAGAAGAGCACAAAACAGAACCAAGTTGGAGGATGAGCTATAGACGAGATACCGACTACGGAATACCCGCTACGCTAGGCTGGTTTATCATCATATCATCACAAGTATTCCCATGACGAGACATAGTCCTTATCGCCACAGACATGGCAACCCTATCCGACTGTTAGGATAGTCCTTTGGCGGCTCTTGGTAAGAACGGAATGCCATATATTTATGATCTTGACCAGATCGGCCATATACTCGGCTGTGACTGGTCCGAATCGAAGATATACCCATGGCACCTCCTCGAGTACCGGGTATCAGGGAGAACACACAAAAAACAACAAGTCGTCAGCTGAAAATATTAAACTTATTAATAAGTGTAGTCCATATAGAATCTGCAATTGAGAGCTAAAGCATTTGCCGATCACCGGAATGGCGAATGGGACGGCGGGCAGTACGGGGCCGGCCGGAACGGGAAGGGGACTGTTTTAAAATAAACACAAGCTAAAATAAAATAGCAAACAGAATGCCGAGGCGGAGAGCAGAAACTCGTGACTAATGAGCTGCCGATGGATCGCCTGGTGTCGGCCGGTCCTCCGACTATCGCGGTTGTGGCAGGGGCGAAAGCCGGACAAAACCGAAACACTGCAAACAGGATGCTGGGCAGATAGGCAGACGTGATAGAAAGACGTGTGTTTGTTACGTGAGAGCACACCACCTTATATTCACAGGCCTTGATCCAAATGAACTTGACGAGAGAGCGGATAAATAAAATCGGGGTGGTTCCGTGTGAGCAACAGACATATTTACTTTGATTCTAGAACTACTACTTTCCTATCCATCAGTGGTATTCTTTGAAAGAACAGACAATGTCATGCCACAGTCCTCTATATAAAAGAGACCAACAACTATTGCTGTCAACCGCGACTCTACTGGGATCTCCTTCAACTACAGGGTGTACAAAGCTCAATCAATCATCAATAGTGCACCATTAAGTGATCAATAGACGTGCAAAAGGCTCGCCATAGCCTTCCAGTAAAATCCCCAATCTTTGGGTTGGAATGATACTTTTATTCACGAATCTATTTGCTATCTGGCTGGAGGTGGTTTAGATGGTGTTCGAATAATATCCTAAATAATGACCCCCATTGCTTATCAGAACAAATTTGATCAACAGTGGAATAAACCCTCGATCGACGGCTGCCATAAACATTATCAATGAGTAAACTGTTTTTTTTTTTTTTTGGTGCTGCATTAATGCAATGTTCTCGGGAATTACAATACAAATGGCTGCTCTTCGCAAATGTTATTGTTTATGGACAGAAAGGAAATTACTCACCGAACGGAAGAGCGGGAAGTGGGAAGGCGTTGGAGAAATATGGTGCGAGTGGGGGAAATGCGTCTTTTCGAAAACAAGAATTCCCGGAAGCCACAAACAGAAAAAGAGAAACAGAAATCGATTCAAAAACAACAATGCCTATGTGGAATAAAAACAGAATCCATCGCCGTGTTGTTTGGCCTAGGTCGTCAATTGTGTGCTGGGAGGTCAAGTCGTTCAATCACTCCTAACGCTGACGGTACGAGTACATACAATATTTGATATGATACACTTTGTAGAGCATAGATCGGCCACACAGTCTACGTTGTTAATTATGAGAAATAATCGGATACATCTGAATCTATCTAAATATTTGTTTTTTCCGTAGAAAGTCCTGCTCCATACATGGCGTTGTATGGAAGTTCGACTGTATATGGAATAATGGAGATCACAAATCACTCCACTCATTATCAATCAATGCTCAGAAACATTAATCATAAATACACCAATTAAACAGAATAAGCAAACGAGGAACTTCAAAAGGCAAAATCCTATGTTAATACTTTTGAATTTCGTACAAAAAATAGCACTACACTGCCCAAACATTACAAATAACTACTTCCTTAATTTAAGGGTTTCTTAGATACATATCTGGGAACTTTCAGTCTTTCTTTGGGCTTTCCATCGATAGAGTATGTTTTTTTTCTTAAGTTTTACGCACATTTTATAATTCTAGACAATTCGATCGTTCGCTTATGGACTATTTGTCGCAAGTTCTTGGCAACCGATCCACTGTGCGTTGCAGCAGCTCTCGTCCGTTGCTCTCTGGCTCTCTGGCTCTCTCTTCTCCACTCACCTGTTGGGGTGTTGTTGTCGCTGTTGTGGCCGAGGGACTGCTTCCGATTGACTTTCTGCTCTGACCGTTATTCTCCTTATCGTTGTTTGTCTTCTGCTCTTGTTCTTTCTGCTTCTGTTGCTGTTGCTGCTCCTTGTCATCCGTTGCA